ACTCACTCGAATCAACAGTCATAGTGTCTGTCAAACCACATCATATTGTCAGTCAAACTGTCAGTCATATTCTAAACCTAACTAAACCGTAAGTCATAGTGTGTGTCAAACCGTCAGTCATATTGTCAGTCAAACTGTCAGTCTTATTCTAACTAAAACCGTAAGTCATAGTGTCTGTCAAACCGATGTCATATTGTCACCCAAACTGTCAGTCTTATTCTCACTAAAACCATCAGTCATACACTCTCTTAAACTATGAGTCATATTGTCACCCAAACTCTCAAGCATACACTCACTCGAATCAACAGTCATAGTGTCTGTCAAACCACAGTCATATTGTCAGTCAAACTGTCAGTCATATTCTAACTAAAACCGTAAGTCATAGTGTGTGTCAAACTGTCAGTCATATTGTCACCCAAACTCTCAATCATACACTCACTCAAATCAACAGTCATATTGTCAGTCAAACCGTCAGTCATATTGTCAGTCAAACTGTCAGTCTTATTCTAACTAAAAAGCTAATTCATAGTGTCTGTCAAACCGAAGTCATATTGTCACTCAAATTGTCAGTCATACACTCACTCAAATCAACAGTCATATTGTCACCCAAACTATCAGTCATATTCTAAATAAAACCGTCAGTCATATTGTCAGTCAAACTATCAGTCTTATTCTCACTAAAACCATCAGTCATACACTCTCTTAAACTATGAGTCATATTGTCACCCAAACTCTCAATCATACACTCACTCAAATCAACAGTCATATTGTCAGTCAAACCGTCAGTTATATTGTCACTCAAACTGTCAGTCTTATTCTAACTAAAACCGTAAGTCAAAGTGTCTGTCAAACCGTCAGTCATATTGTCAGTCAAACTATCAGTCTTATTCTAACTAAAAAGCTAATTCATAGTGTGTGTCAAACCGTCAGTCATATTGTCAGTCAAACTGTCAGTCTTATTCTAACTAAAACCGTAAGTCATAGTGTCTGTCAAACCGATGTCATATTGTCACCCAAACTGTCAGTCTTATTCTCACTAAAACCATCAGTCATACACTCTCTTAAACTATGAGTCATATTGTCACCCAAACTCTCAAGCATACACTCACTCGAATCAACAGTCATAGTGTCTGTCAAACCACAGTCATATTGTCAGTCAAACTATCAGTCTTATTCTAACTAAAAAGCTAATTCATAGTGTGTGTCAAACCGTCAGTCATATTGTCAGTCAAACTGTCAGTCTTATTCTAACTAAAACCGTAAGTCATAGTGTCTGTCAAACCGATGTCATATTGTCACCCAAACTGTCAGTCTTATTCTCACTAAAACCATCAGTCATACACTCTCTTAAACTATGAGTCATATTGTCACCCAAACTCTCAAGCATACACTCACTCGAATCAACAGTCATAGTGTCTGTCAAACCACAGTCATATTGTCAGTCAAACTGTCAGTCTTATTCTAACTAAAACCGTAAGTCATAGTGTCTGTCAAACCGATGTCATATTGTCACCCAAACTGTCAGTCTTATTCTCACTAAAACCATCAGTCATACACTCTCTTAAACTATGAGTCATATTGTCACCCAAACTCTCAAGCATACACTCACTCGAATCAACAGTCATAGTGTCTGTCAAACCACAGTCATATTGTCAGTCAAACTGTCAGTCATATTCTAACTAAAACCGTAAGTCATAGTGTGTGTCAAACCGTCAGTCATATTGTCAGTCAAACTTTCAGTCATACACTCACTCAAATCAACAGTCATATTGTCATCCAAACTATCAGTCTTATTCTCACTAAAACCGTAATTCATATTGTCACTCAAACCGTCAGTCATATTGTCATTAAAACGGTCAGTCATACACTCACTCAAATCAACAGTCATATTGTCAGTCAAACTATCAGTCTTATCCTAACTAAAAAGCTAATTCATAGTGTGTGTCAAACCGTCAGTCATATTGTCAGTCAAACTATCAGTCTTATTCTCACTAAAACCATCAGTCATACACTCTCTTAAACTATGAGTCATATTGTCACCCAAACTCTCAATCATACACTCACTCAAATCAATAGTCATATTGTCAGTCAAACCGTCAGTTATATTGTCACTCAAACTGTCAGTCTTATTCTAACTAAAACCGTAAGTCAAAGTGTCTGTCAAACCGTCAGTCATATTCTCAGTCATACTGTAGTTCATACTATCACCCAAACTGTTGTTCATACTGTCACTCAAACTCTAAGTCATATTGTCAGTCAAACTGTGAGTCATATTCTCTCTCAAACCTTGAGTTATACTGACAACCAAACCCTCATTCAAAATGTCACTCAAACTGTCAGTTATATTCCTAGACACATTCAAACTTTCAGGCATATTGTCAGCCAGATACTCAGTTATAGAGTTACTTTTTTGTCATTAATGAATTCAGTTATAGATTCAAACATACATTCGGTCCAATATTGGATCATGCAGTTAATTCTACATTTTTTTAACTTGTAAGTCATTATTTATGAAAATATTTAAAATAGTGTAATTGCACAATGATGTGCAGTATTATCTTTAATATTAATATTGTAATATGATATTAGATTTTATCATATGAGATATTAATATTGATTTATGGATCACTGCACAATGATGTGCAGTATTATCTTTAATATTAATATTGTAATATGCAATGTTATATTCTAATTTGAATGTTCCTTTTTAACCTCATGATTTCTTCTCACTGATCTGCCTTTTTATGCAGCATTTTGTATTTAATATCTCTTATCCTTTAGATTCTCTATGCTTTCCATTTTTCTAAACCAGATTCCATTGTTAATTCTTAAATTAACACAGATCTTAAATTTCATATTAGTCATTGATCTGAAGTTATTGAAACATCTGACGTCTTTAGATTGTCTTATCTAATATTAAAATGATTGATCTATTTACATTTTTAAAATAGTCCTAAAAAGTCTCAATATTTATAAAAGCATAATAAAATTAAATTTTTTAATATCATTTTGTAAATTATTCGTTTACTTTATGGCATAGTCTTGAAAAAGTATCAAAAAACATTATCTTAATGGTCTCTAAAGAGGTTAAGTAGCATACACACAGATATGCTAATGTGGTAAAAAGAGATTTATTGCAAAAAGTCCAAAATAGTATATTTATTATCAAGATTCGCGTGGAAACGTACGAGTTTGGGACGAATAACTAACATTCTTAAACATTTAGTAATACTCTGATAAGTACAAGTCCTTAGATGCGACATATGGCTTCTTTTGTTCTAACTTACCAAATTCAAGAACTCAAGTTGGCAGTAACTCTGTACTAAACATACTCTAAGAGCTTGTCATTATTCCGTGTATGACAAATCATACTTTAATGTTTTACTCGTTGAATAAAGAATGCTTGATTTTGAAATCGAATGTTTTTGCTTAAATAGTTCCAGATTCTTGAACTAGGGACGGAATTAGAGGACACGTCTTTGCTGGTTAGTCGCGTGCTTGATGACAATATGCTACAATTATAATAAACGTACAAAAGGGACGAAAATTGAGAGCTTGTAACTTTCAACCCCCTTTTTTACCTATTCGCTCGAGTACAGTATACATTGTGCGTCGCCTGTAGCCTACAGCTACAGTCACCGACACAATGAAAAAAGTGACAGAAAACTGACACCATACGGGCGCGCATATGTACGCATATATGTGTAAAAATAAACGTTCATATGTAAACTAACCTTTATTCACTAGCAGGGGCTGATAAATCATAATCGTCGAGAAGTACGATAGGTGGTCCCACCTGTTTAATCTGTATGGAGAGGCAAACGTGACGTAAGAAGCATAACACTGGTTTCTCAGTATATTTAATAGACTCTGCTGTTGGCTTAACTGTAAGCTTATATGTAATAGGTGAATTAGATAACTGACCCTGTTGGAATGTATAATCAGTTTCGCAAGGGAATCCACATAGGTAATGACCTAAGTCATTTGACTCGATTCCAAATTGAGGGACTGATGTGGTTGTGATAGACCTCATGACATCATAGTTGAAGCCAACAGTATCGTTATTATTGTTAGTGGCATTTGCCTGCATCTCATAGAAGATTGGATCATTAGATGCTTGAGCCTCAGCGGGTATGTTACCATATGCTCCACAGTTCAATTGAATTTGTTCAAACAATGGATTTTCATAGGTAGTGTTATAATTAGGTGTTTTCTTAAATAGTGTATAAATGGTGTTCACATATAATGGAGTAAATGCTGCCGTGAATGTACAAGGAGTTCCTTCACCTTTAGCCATTGAACCATCCATAGTAATGCAGTCAATTCTTTTGATTGGGAAGTTTAGAGTCTTTGCCGAATATCTTGTCACCAAATCACTATAGATGTTAGGGTCCAAAGAGAATGAGTTACAGTATGTAATCATTTCAAAGAAGTTTGCATTCTTCTTAGTGAACTTAATAAACTTGGTACCAAATGATATCGTACTCTTATCGGCATTCCAAGTTACAGTATCAATAACTTTGATACCTTCATAGATAGGAGTGAAGTGATTAGTGATTGGAATATAGCTTGTAACATTGGCTTGCATGTTCGGTAATGGTAGAATATCCTGATAACTTAATGGTGTCCAAACCATACCAGCAATACTGAACTTAACCTTAAGTTGTAAGTTACCAGCAAACGCTGGAAGGAATCTAATGTTATTAAGTATTAGGAATCTTCTTAGGTCAATCTTGATTGGTATGTGGAACTTTAATGTAGTTGCACCACTAATTGGTTTATTGAACTCAATAATCTGTCCAGAACGAACTGTATCACATCTATTGAAAACATCTTTATGTCTAGCCTTACTAAATACATCAACTTTCTTAATAGCTTCTGTTGTAGATGCAGTAGAAGTAATGTAACCTTCTTCTCTAGCATTATCTTGTGTATAAACACTTTTACCATTAGCGATTAATTGATATGATTCAACAGCATAGAATGAATCAATGTATCCCAACCAAATTGCTGGAAGATGTGCACATGATTTGCCACCAGCATATTTAGTATCAATTGCTTTAATTGCTGTAACATTTGATCCTGTAGGAGCTGTCTCAACAGCTCTTTCTTTATATACTTCACCATCATATTTAGGAACTTTTTCATCAGCTGGTTCAGTTTCTGTTGTAATTATGCACTCACCATCGACATAACCACTAATGAACGTATTATATAAGTCAATCATGTTCTCACCAGGTGGTGATATGTTAAATGTAATATAACCGTTATCAATAGTATTTGTCGGCATAGCTGGCACTTTTGTTGGGACATATCTATGGTTAGTATCTCCAATAGGAACTGCCCCATCAACTTGATCGAAATAATATCTTACTTGTCTGATGGAATCAGCAATACTGTATGTATTGAGGTTATCGTTCAACATCTTTCTCAGCTATAAAAAATTTACAATCTTCTTATTCTTGGGATTATTCGTCTTATTTGTGGCTGAGGTTTAGGAGGTTCTGGTTCAGGCTCTGGTTCATCATCGAAGTGTATTCTTTTCTCTTCCATTGATTGAACATATTCTTGATTCTCTTTAGTTTCCTTCTCACGTTCAATTGGGTCCATGTTTGGTTCATTAACTACACTGTTACGTTCTAATATCTTTGTCATCATCTCTAACAACATTTTATTAGTATATGCTTGTTCTTCTTCTTTCTTCTCATCAACTTTAGGAGCTTCTTGAACAACAGGAGCTGGGGCAGGAGCTGGTGAATTCAATGGTGCCTTTCTCTTTCTAACTTGAACTGAACCATTCTTCATATGACAAACATAATATAATGGATGTTGTATTCCTTTAGCTTCATTCAATATGATTGATTGCTTTTCACTTGGTGAAAGTTTTGACGTCATTTCTATCCTAATAAAATTTTTTACTCCTAACAAAATGACTGAGAATACTTTCGACAGAGAAGCACTCAAGAATGAACTTCGTGAAGAAATACTTAATGAACTCAAACCAAAAGAACAAACACAAGAAGAGAAACCAGCTAAACCAAAGCGTAAACTCACAGAGAAACAATTAGCTGCATTAGCAGCTGGACGCGCAAAGAATCCACGAATGATTGCAAAGAAATTGAGAGAAGAGGAAGAAGCTAAGAAAAATAATAAGTAAGTGTTTAGAACTTTAACTTACGTTCAAAAGATGACTTCGTTGAAATAGTGAAGTCCTTATTTTTGTTGAAGCATGGTTTCGAACCAATGCACAAGTCAAAGGTTATCTCATCACCTTCATAAAGAGATTTGTACAATTCCACGATGCTATATTTTTCCCCAACTTTCTCAGGGAAGAACAAACCTTTCTTCTCGTCATAATGTACTTGTATCGCATCTGGGAACATTTGGTTTGCAGTAAGTGCAATTACGTCCTGTGTGATTCCCTTCATTCGACAGTGGAAAGCAATTTCCTTGAGGTCATTGGTTAATTCGTCGAGGTAAGTCTTCTTTCCAACGAATATAGATCTTTGTGCCTTAGACATATGTCCTGCAGTAATCTCTGCAAAGTCTGAATGAAATTGACCCAGTGCTTTTCCAATGAGTTCTCTGTTATACCTTCTCTTGTATTCTTCTGCTAACTTATCTAAGTCCTTCTCATACAAGTGTAAACTATCTGTATCCTGATAGAACAACTTCAAGCCCAAATCTTCTGCTGTGAAGAATACTTCATTCATGATTCGTTTGGACATAGAAAGGATTGAAACACCTAATGGACAATAGTTAAAGTGACGAACGATAGGTTTAAATGACTTTACACATGAAAGTTCGGAATCGGGGATGAACTCTATTGTCTGTATGTCATTATAGTTCTTAATGATATAGTCAGTGAGCTTATTGTCCTTGATGAAACGAATCTTTTTGTCAATGGGCTTTAATATCGTCTTACCATAGATACTGTTCAAAAGAAGTTTGATGATCTCTTGTATCGGATTACCTTCCTTCTTATACTTAGCACGTAATTCGAAGAGCTTCTTAACTTCATTCCTTATTGTCATGTCCCTTTTTCCATCATAATAGTATCCATCAATGACTTTGCATGAGATCTCTTGGAACTTGATCAGATCTTGAAGCGTAATGTGGTCTACGAACATCTTGCAGCATGTATTGGAACTTCTGGCAACATGTAAGTCAGGGTTGATGTCAGGATTGACGACAATCAATGGGAATGCTGAGTTCTTACCGATCGACAAGATCTCGATCTGACAGTAAAATCCTGAGATGAACTTTTCCTTTGTTGGTTCAGCTTGGTCATCATCAAAGAGATGCTCCAACAAGTATTCACTGCTCTTCATCTCTTCTGTCATAACTTTTGGAATTCCTTCTAAACAGTAAAGTCTAGCAATTGCTGATGGATACAATGATACAGCATCGAAGTCAGTGATGAGTTCTCCTTCATTGTATTGCTTCTTGTTCTCAGCTAGCATGCATCTTCCTCCTTGAATACACTTGGAAATATATTCACGAGGTTTTCCTGCAAGATCAAAGAGATTACCGTTCTTCCAATATACTCTCTTCTCAAAGAGTTTGTTTGAGATAGAACTTATTGAAACATAATCATAAGCATCTATTTCAAACTCAGTCATGAGGTCATTGCGGAACTTAAGAAAGCCATCTCGTAAAATGCGTACATCTTGACCGCAATAGAATGACGAATAAACTTCCATGTCAAAGTGTTCATCATCAATCTTGCAATCTTCAATCTTCTCAATGTTCTCATTAAAAGCTTCAATATCTTTGACATGATTCATGGCATCATCGATGTTACCAACTTTAGTTGTATTAACTAACTCTTCCGTGTAGTAATTATATGGGAAAACTTCTTTTTCACCACTAGTGAGGTGAAACATTTCAGGGAATCTTTCCAACTTAGTTGAGATGATTGCATAAGAGTCTTTGAAGCAGAGAAGTTTTCCTTTGTACTTTCCTTGTATCTGCATCGTTTGTGAACCTTTGATGATTGGAGTTCCTGTAATCTCTTCTAACTGAGACATGAGAAAAGTGACATCGTACGATAAGTTGTGGAAATAAACTAAACTCTTATCTGGTAAAGCTTCGAGGAATTTTGACGCACAGTCACTTCCCCAAATTGATGTATAACCATCATCGTCATCTTCCATGAAACAAATGTTGTATGCTTTGTGAATGTTTCCATCAGTTGATGCTTCGAAGTCAGCAAAGAAAACATGTTCTCTTGGGAACTTCATGTCTTTCTTCGTCTCTGAACTCCAATCTTTCTTCATCCTTGCGCAATAACGCTCATTGTATGTGAGGTCAATCATTTCTTCAAGGTTCTCATTATACATCGTTGTGAAGTATGTGCAAAGTTCTCCTGTTCTAATTGGTTCGAAATAATTGTTAGCAAACAAGAGTTCAATGACTTTTGCAAGTGGTGTAACTAACTTTGAGTTAATTGCATACCTTGTTTCATATCTTCTGTTAACTAACATCTTCTTCTCTAAAGTCCAATCCTTGCACAACTTACAAACATCTTCATAGTTCTTGATGAACATTGAACTTATTGGAAGCTTTTCGTTCAACATGTAGTGGTCATACATTAATAAAAGTTCTACTGTCATCTTTGGTTCTTCATCTGGTTCATAAGTATATGAATGATTTGAATACTTCTCGTTGTATTTGATGACATGGAACCTTATTCCTGTTTCTTTGGCAATAACCTTAATCTTTGACATTGGAAAATCTTTGACACGAATGATTTCCCTCATATGATTAATTGTTGCTTCGTCAACACCAGCTTGAATACAAGCGTAGATGAAACATGAATCTTTCATCATCTTCTTTGCTGTCTCTGCATTAAGTTCGTTGAAGATCTGATACCTCTCTAAGTTAATAGGTAATTTGCATGTCCATGTCCAAAGCTGACCATTACGTGACCTGTTTCTCTTCTTTGAATGGTTTTGTTTGATGATCTTGAGTGCGATCTTTTCTTGACCTGCTGCTCTCATCGTATCTAACATAACTTGTTCTTCAGCTGTGAGTTTATATGGTGTGTACGTTCCTTTTCTCAAAGCAGAAGCATCAACATCTGAATAAGCTGTATAGTCAAAGATCTCGATCTTCCTTAACGAAGGAATACTACAAAGGAAGAAGTCATAGTTTGATTCAAGGACTTTAGATGCTAATTCTTGTACTTCTGCTATTGGAGCTTCATTAAGTAACTGATGAACTAATGATCCCATTGTATTGATGTTCAAATGACGCAAAATGTTTCTCTTCTCATCAAAGTCGTAATAGAATGTCCACTTCTGTTTGAAAAGGTCTATCTGTCCAATGAACTTTGCCATAACTCTTGGAAACATCTTGTTGAAGTAATCTTTTCCTCTTGGACTGTATTGGTCAATGTTAAACATAATGAATCTTTCTCCTGCTTTAGTTATTGGGTCTAACCATTTCTCATCAGGAAGTTTTTGACCATTAATGTTCTTAACAACGTAAAAGGCATTCTGTATTTCTTTGTATGCTAATTCGCTCTCATCAATCTTTGGTGGAGGGTCTGAGTATATTGGTTGCATCTCCATTAACGCTCTATTATGAGATCTCTGATCGTGATCTAAAGCAACTGGGGAATTTGAAGCTGGAACATTCATGATACCATTGTAGTCATCATAGAAGCTCTTAGCATTCTTGAAAATATCTGCTACACTTCCTGTACCTCCTTGATTCTTAATTGCCAGAGCTAATTTATTGGTAATGTCTTTAGCTTTCTTAGGCATTTTGATCCCAAACATATCAAGCATACCTTTCTTATCTTCTGGTGAAAGGTTATTAACTAATCCTTTTATAGCATTGAGCATGTTGGTCTTTTATAACCGATAAAAAAATATACGTTATTTTTTTTTAATCGTCATCGTAATCATAATCGTACGAAGATTCTGTATCATCATCACTGACATCATTGGTTTCTCTAACTTCTGGCTTATCTGGTTTAATCTCTATCACCATAAACATTGGTGACAATAATCGAACAGGCTGATCTTGGAAGTCAACTAAGGTAAACGTAACATTAGTTAGTTCCCATGGAAATGCATCTATCCATGGTGAGGATTCCTTACATATAAGTGGTTTACCAGATATCCAGAACTCATTGATGTTATAACATGTAGATCTGTACATGATCTTTCTTCGATCATCAACTTGGTCAATATTATTGAACCCAGAGATGACAGACATTGATGAACGAAGGTATAACTGATACCCGAAGTTGAGCATAGGTGGTTTTGGCATTTGTAGATAATAATTATGTACAATAGGTAGTTCTATTCCATATGCACCTAAAATAAGATTTGCTCTATGTGAAGCATCTTTTAAATAGACTTTATGTCCTTTGTCCTGTGACGTAAATATAAGTTGATTCGTAGCACTCAGTGAAACTGTTACATTATGTTGACCTTTTTTCTTGTTATAATAATCAAACTGTTTTGTTACAATCTCTTGTAGTTTTGATACAATAGTATCCATATCAAATGAAAGAGCTGACTTAAATGTACACACCTTTTCTTCTCCATCTTCGTCTAACTGTAAGACAAAATAATCTGTTTCGTCACAAACAATAAAGTTCGCCATAGTACTGACACTTTTTACTCTCATCTTTATCTTACTTGGATGCCCCATGTTAGGATCTGCTTGAAACTGTATTGTCCCGTAGTTATTAGGATCAGTCGATTGTAGATAATACATCATTTTTATATGTAGTAAAAGAATGAGTGTTGTTCCATATGCATATGAATGTTATAAGTCTAGCGTACTTCAATATAAAGAATATACTCTCAGAATTACTGATAATGCTTTAGTCATACATAAAGAAGGTGCTGATGAAGACATTACCATCGGTCCTGGTATATTACCTATCGAGCAACCAGATGGTACAATTGTTGAAACAGACTTAAATCAATACCTTCAAGCGTTACAGAATCGTGTGACAAAAGTAGAGAATAATTACTTAGATGCTCCATTCTTCACAACTGATAGAGATTATATGTTTTCATGTATGGCGAGTAATGGTTTGCAAGAAACTCGTGAGGTAAATATTAATGAAGCATTAGAGACTATAATATATCATGTTAAACGGTTATTATCGATTGACCATGGAGTTCATTTTGACCCAAGGTCTACACTGTTCAATATACCAATGATTGAAAACAGTCAATTAACATTTAAAGAAGATACATTGTATAATGCTTTAAACGCAGCATTTGCTTATATATTAGGTCATGAACAAGTACAAAATAGTGGTATTGCAATATACTTAGATAAAGTTATGTTAAAGAAACCATTGACATTCACAGAAGATGGTCCAAAAGCAACTGGTATTGTTGGTGATGGAACATTATTGACGAAAGAATACTTAGCAAGTCATGTCGGAGAATTTTTCTCCACTAATGATAGCATCAGTACAACACCAGAAGTTATTTTATTGAAGAAACCAATCACATTTGATGTTAAAGGAAAGACAAAAGCAACTGGTATAGCTGGCGATGGAGTTCTTCTGACTAAGGAATACTTGAAGAAAAATATCAATGACTTCGTTGAAATTGTCAAAGATAAAGAATCTGGTCTTAAGTTCAACCCTTTATCATTCATCTTTGCCATAGCAAACGCCGGTGCTACTGCAGCCTCATGGATATCACTCCAGAGTCAAATAAATGCTCTTTGGGCTTTTGTTGAAAGTCAAGAAGGTATAGATACTGTTCTTGACACTCTGGGTAATCTTGGTCCAAATCATAAAGGAGGTTTTGTGGATGGAATAAAAAATTTAGTTGAAAAGACTAAAACAAGTTTCCAGAAGATAACTCATATAGAAAGATTCAGAAATGAAGGTTATATGGAACTTGAGAGTTTTGATGTGACTGGACCTTTGGAACCAATTCCAATGCCACGTGATGCTAATGATGAAGAAGAGAAAGATCCTGGACCAAAAACAATCATTTCTACGTTAAGTACTTTGTACCCTGATTTTGTGACCTTAGTGAAAGTTGCTAATACATCAAGAAAGAACAATAATATTAATATGTCTGGTACTGATGACCTTACTGATTATCTTTATCTCATTCTTGCTGAATTAGCGAAGAAAGTTGAGGAGAACAAAAATAATGGAGGAAGAACTGCACTTAAGATTGCAGACAAAGCTGACAAAAGTTATGTTGACGAAGAGATACGTAAAGTTGCATCTAAAGAATATACTTTATCACAGTCTGTCATACTTAAGACAATCAAAGGTCCAGAGAAAGATATGTACCCAGGTGATGGTACAACAGTTAAAGTTAATGAAAGAGTTTCATTCCCATCTGGTATTGATGCAAAAGAAGTATATATTAATGGTGAAAACATCAATACAACATTGATTCCTTTGAAAAATAATGAGTTCACTGAACCTTTGACAGTTAAATCAATTCGTTCAAGAGAAGACAAACCTGTTATAATCAATAAAATAGGAGCTGATAATGACCAACCAGTTCAAATCAAGAAAATAAGAGCTGATGACATTATCTTGAACTATACTTTAGGCTCAAGTGCACTTTAGAGATCCAAGCACTAGTGTAAGATACACTTAATAGTTTAGATAGTAAATGTACGAACATTGAAGGTCATGTCAGAAACTTTGAAACACATGAGCTACCAACAATGTTAGATAAGAAAGCTGACAAAACTTATGTGGATGCAGAACTAACAAAGAAATTTTGGAAACCAGATAAAATGACATTTACAACAGAAATTATAAATGGTGAACCAGCAACTCCATTTGAATTTGTTAGAGGTCTTCAACCAGATACTTTTGAATTTTTCTTGGATAATTCTATTGAACTAACATTACATTATAAAAGTGGAACAAATGCAACATTTCATCCGGGAGATACATTCCAAATGGTATTTAATGACATAAGTTCTTTAGAATATGTTTATAGAGCTATGAGCATATATGATTTAATATATCCTATAGGAGCTGTTTATACGTCTATGAATCCAATAAATCCAAACACTTTATTTGGTGGTAGATGGTATGAAATAGTTGACAGTTTTCCATTCTACACTAATACGCAGTCAATGAAGATGGGAGGTTCAAAGAAAATAGGTATTGAAAACCTTCCTTCACATATGCATAGGTTCAGTGGAAGAACATCTGTGGAAGGAAACCATTCACATTCAATGACAAAAAGAGGTTATACAAATCTTGCAGCAGGTTCGGATAGACAGGGAATGCATAGATATGATATTTCAAGTGACCCAGTAGATTCAAGCACAGGTATTTTCTGTGGAACTGCAGGAAATCATACACATGTTGTAGCTGGCATTACAGACCCAGCAGGTAATGGAAAAGATTATATGCCTCCTTATATAACAATGCACGCTTGGATACGAGTTGGTTAACTCAAGATCACGATCACAAACTGTTTCTCAGTATGAATGAGTAGCTCTATTTTTACATCATTACTGAAGTATTTCTTTTCTTCATCAATGACAGAAAGAATGTTTTCATCATCTTTTAAAGATCTTACCAAAGTTAGATCTTCATCAGAAAATCTCAAAGAAAGACTCATTTATGCACTAATAAAAATATAGCTAATTATTTTTTTATCTGAACTTTTTATCGGGTATATAAAGATGTCTGAACATCATATAAAGTTCTTTAAGATCCAACAGTTTGTAGATGAAGTGAAGAAGCAAAATAAAACAGCAAAGAGACTACTTATATGCTTACCACAAACATTATGTCAAGGAAAGTATGGTTATAGTGCAAGTCCGATCATGATCTTTGTCGATAAGCAGAAATACACAAATGAAGGTTTAGCTAATTTACTCAAGTTTGAAAAGATAGCTATAAACATTCCTGACCATTTCTCAGCGAGAATAAACCTTGACAAGACTAAAAGTTATTGTTTATATGTAGATCTCACGAAATCAACAAAGAGTAAAGACAAAGAATATAACCCAGTTGAACTTAAGACAATGGGTAAGAACTTACTCAAAGCTGCTATCAAACCTGTCGAAGAGATCGACATTGAGGATGAAGCAGAAGAAATAGATGTAGATCCTGATGCATTATAAACGATAAAGTTTATTTTTGGAGGAAGATGGTGTCAGACCCTTTAATCTGGTATGCTTGTTCTAGGTAATTGCAGAAACCTAGAAAGATTGGTATTGGTCTGAGTTTCATATCTGTTCTCTCATCTCTCCATTGAAGCAAGTAAATTTTCATGAAGAGTTCGTCTGGATTCTCAGGTTTTGGTACACACTGATCGAAGATCTGTATGACCTCTTCATGACCGTACTCCCTATGGTCAGACATGAGTGTTAAGAAGAACTTTTGCATCTTCGGACCAGGTTTAGCATCTATGCAACGAGTGGGTCTCATTGACATTTTTGTCACTTTTATTTGGTCGAATGGAAGGATTCGAGTTCATGCCACTTGACAGCAAAGAAGGTGCAGAAGAGGTTGTTGTTGCTGCATTCTATGCGAGCTCACACGTTGACGCATTCCGAACTTACCAGGATGACCTCGAAAAAGAAGGTCGAAAGCTTGGAAAGATCCAAATGTTGCTTGAGTTCTTCCGTGGAAACCTTGCACAGAAGTATGAGAAGAAAGAATAAACAACTAATTATTACTGAGCTTAGCTCATAAATGTAAGTTTTTACTCTGATCAGATCTTAGATCTCGTCGGGACAAGCGGAAAGGATAAAGTCCATGAGCTGGACTTTTGTCTTAGTGAGCGGTACTGCGGTCATGAGTAGTTCGCGCTTGTTTGAGCCACTTGGAACGCGACCCTTCCAATTCCTCATAGATCTCAAGGCAGAGATCGTGAAGAACTCAAGGACAAAGAGTCTTTGAGACTTGGTAAGGAATCCCTCATCATCTCTTTCATCCTGGAGGGTCTTTGTGGATGCAGTGGACTTGATCTCGTCTTCCTCGATCGGATCATTCTCATAATCTTCATCACCCTTCTTCCTAAACGTCATCTGCTCTCTCTTGTAGTCGTTCCTGAGAGCATTGAGTCCAGCTTCAAGATCTTGTGAGTTCTTTGCAGGTTTATTGAAAGTTTTCTTTTCCTGCATTTGCTGTATAAGCTGGGTTTGCTGTTGCATCATCTGCATCATCATTGCCATCATATCTAGTGTTGGTGATGCTGGAGCTGGTGTTGTACCATCTTGGGACATTCGGTCGTCGGTTATGTCTTTACAAAAGACTGCTTTACAAAAGACAGCTTTACAAAAGACAGCTTTACAAAAGACAGCTTTACAAAAGACAGCTTTACAAAAGACTGCTTTACAAAAGACAGCTTTACAAAAGACGTCTTGACAAAAGACAGCTTTACAAAAGCATTTTCTCACAAAATTGAATACTTTTGCTTTACAAAAGACGTCTTGACAAAAGATTGCTTTACAAAAGTCTGCTTTACAAAAGACGTCTTGACAAAAGATTGCTTTACAAAAGTCTGCTTTACAAAAGATTGCTTTACAAAAGATTGCTTTACAAAAGTCTGCTTTACAAAAGATTGCTTTACAAAAGATTGCTTTACAAAAGCCATGACTGATCTTCATCCAATTTGTTTAATCGAACTTAATGAAGTAATTTCTGCATATCTCCTGCATGTATTTGGAAACGAGAGGATAAGACAACTCACCAAGGTTTCCAGACGCCAGATCCAAAGACTTGAATCAACTGCAGGAGTAATCCTAAGCTTTGAAGAAGGATTAACCAATAAGAAAGATGTCATTGACTCCAAGCGTGAAAGCCTTGCTGCTTTCTTACGCAAACACCCATGGGTCGATGTTGATCTCCAAACTCCTTACCAAGGACTCGTTGAAACCTTCACGACCTACAGACAGCTCCTTGACAGACCTGAGCAGAACCTTCTGGTCGAACGTGATGGCACATTAAGCCCTACAGACGAGTCAATCCAGAGAGAAGAAGCTCAAGAGTAAAAATCTGACATTTATACTTTACATGACATTTTTTTCATGAGTGTTCACGTTAAGATCAATGATGAAAACATGACTTCATGGGAAGATATCATTGATGACATAGAGAATGACCTTGATGAAAACATGATGGGAGCTCAAACGTCAGTTAAGGTCAAACTTGGTGAAGTTCAAGAAAAGATCTCCGAGATCAATGCAAAAATATCTGCTCTTACAGAGGTTGACGTTTATTACAGAAGCTTGGAGAGAACTTTAAGCAAACTTGAACGTCAGAACCAAAGTCTCATAGTTGTGCTCCAGAAACTCAGTCTCATGCGTAAAGCATATAATGACTACCTACATGTAAGAGACTTACCTTCTTATTCTACTCCAGATCTCGACTTTTCCGATATAAGTCCAATCCTTATTGATACAACACTTACGATAGCAGGGATGCTTCCTACATATCCAGAATATGATAACTTACCTCAGCTCTTCGAGTATCTCAAGAAAAAGTTCATGATCTTATTATGCGAACCATGAAAAGACGTCAAAATACCAGAACAGAACGAGAACAGAGCTTACTAATAGACTTATTATATAATACTAAAGAAATAAAGGAGTTTTTATTCTAACTTTGGTATTTTTGGAAGAACTGATCTGGATCATATTTGTCAACCACAGGTTTTGGTATCAAAAGTCTCTCTGGTTCTTGGACGGCTGGTACTGGAAATGGTTCCTTTGGTTTCCTAGCTTTTGGGAGATCTAAAAATTTTCTTGGTCTCTTTCTTTTGTGTAAGTGTTGTCCATTTTTATCGACAACGAATGTGAGCTTTCCGTCGTCAAAGATGAATGTCGTCGCTTCTTCAGTTCCCTCATCAACTATTATCTTCTTGATCTTTCTCTTCTCCATTAACAGAAAAAGTGACATATATTACTTCATTTTTTTTCTGGGTGTTAGGATTAATTAAACCTCTATCTATAACATGCTTTCTCATAGAAAATTTCTCTCCATATCTTTTTGTCAATATCTCTAAAGTTCTTCTGTATAAGATTTATCACTACTGAAGTAAATAGATGGATAATTAAGGACATCAAAGGTTTCTACAGTATCTTTAAGAGTCCATTCATCTCCATACTGTATAGAATAAGTATGGAAGTATGGAGGATCACATATAAAGAAAACATTGGGAAGATCTTTATACTCATTGAAGAGTATTCTCCAATCTTTATGAACAATAGTTAAACCTTCAAGATAGTCATCTATGTTTTCATCAAATAAGTTAGTATATCTGAGGTATAACACTTTCTTCATTAATGTGTCAAGATCATAGTATTTGTATGCTCCAGAATAGAGAAGACGTGAACATAATGTATCCCAGTCTATGTATGGAGCTTTACTTATAACTTCTCTGACGATCTCTTTCTGATCAGTAGGAATTTTCTCATCTGGCTTAACATTTATTCTCTCCTTAAGTTCCTTAAGTATTTCATTCGTGTCATGAATGTGTTTCAGTCTATCAACGTAGTTATCATAGTCGTTAGCTATGATCGTTGCTTTTGGGAACATAATATGCAACAGATGAGAGATATAGAGAGAACCACCAAAGAGGTCAACGAAGACATAATCCCCTTTGATGTCTTTGAGTATGTCGATAAGAGCTTTCCTGATCTTCGACTTATTACCTATGAAAGGTAAAGGAGGTTTGGTAAAAATCATTTATATGGTAATAAAAATAAGTGTTTAGATTAATTGGGTTTGAGTAGGTCTGCTGCATCTGTATTGCGTCCTCTGTATCTCTCTCCTGGGAGATCGCGGTTGATCATCCCGTGGACTTCGCAGAAAAAAAGGAGCATGACCAAGAGAACAATGAACAAGTTTATACAAAAGAATACAACAACAGCGTTCGTTAAGAAGTTCATTGAACTCTTCACATAAGCTATGTCTTCTTCGTAGCCCATTAACTTAAAAAGTGTCATGACCACTTCATTTTTGATGAAGTCAACAGCTTATGTCCACTTCCTCCCATCAACACTTGAGAAACAAGAGAAGGTCATGAAACAATAAGAATTACCGAAAAAGTGACAAAACATCAAAAACAGGGAGGGGGTCTCAATTTTTATTACTTATATTATTTTACAATATTTATATAAATACTCTTTATAATATATTTTACTATAAAATTATACCTCAAATTCAAATATTTATAATATTATTTACATAATTATCTCAAAATTATATTTTATATATATTATTTTTCATATGTATAAATCATATAATCTATATCTATGCAAATCTCATCTAAAATTTTTTTGAAGCAAACCGCTACCATTTTATAATGGTCCATCTTAAATTCATCATAAATTCTGGTACATGTTAGTACCAGAGTCTTCAAATCTCAAACACTCTGGTACCAACATGTACCAGACGCGAGTTTCCAATGCCCTCGTACGATTTTCTATTAAGATCTTCTTGAATGAGAAGGTCTTCATAGAAACTCGTACGAGGCTTCTCTTTTAAATACTCTGGTACCTGCTGTATCGGAGTCGACTTTACAGCCCTTTCCCCAATTTTGAAGCTGGGGAAAGTTTTCAAGCAATGAAAGGGAAGCTCTCGCTATGAGGTGAAAATCTAGAATTTTTACCTCATAGCGAGTAATCCTTTGTTAATTGCTTGAAAACTTTCTTCAAATTATCAAAATTTCGAGGAAAGTTTCCTTGCTTCAAAGTAGAGATGGAGCCCTTTGAGCCACTGCATATAGGTCAGTGACTCAAAATACTCCATCTCTACTAGAAATCGCCAAAATTTGGGTCGCAATCTTTGAAATGCGACGCAAGTTTGGGCAATTTCGCGAGGACTTGCTCCATTTGGTGCATAGATTCACACTCTATGCACCAGATGGAACAATTCTTTCGCTGACAGCGGGAAACTTTGTCTGAATAGTTTAACATTCAGACAAAGTTTCCCGCTGTCAGAGAGGGAATGGAAGGGTAAGAGGTATATATTCATAATGTATACCTCTTACTCTTCCATTCCCTCAAGAAAGTTCAAAAACTTGGGTGCAATCAGTTCTGATTGCACCCAATTTTTGAACTTTATATAGGGAATTGTTGGCTATGTTGTACTGATCATGAATCAGTACATCATAGCCAACAATTCCTTCGCAAACAGTGGGAAACTTTGTCTGAATAGTTTAACATTCAGACAAAGTTTCCCGCTGTCAGGGAGGGAATTAGAGGGTGGGAGATATATAGATAGACTATAAATCTCTCACCCTTTAATTCCCTCAAGAAAGTTCAAAAACTTGGGTGCAATCAGAACTGATTGCACCAAAGTTTTTGAATTTTGTATAAGAATTGTTGGCTATGATGTGGATAGCCGCTGCCAGACCAAATGAATTAACCGTTGTGAATAACGTTTCTGAATCTTTATTTAAAAAGATAAAATATCACGATTTTGGCTGCGTTAAAAATCAAAGAATTGATGTTTTTGTCAAAAAATCTTTTAGAAGAAGTTGCACCCAATTACTTTTATCGTATTAAAAACGATTTACTTCAAACAGGTTTTATTCCTTCAATTAGAATTCGCGAGCCTCGATTGACAGATTATAAAACAAAATTGAAAAGAGAAGTTCAATCACGTTTATACCAAGTATTAAATTTTGTTCAGAATCAAGAAGCCAATTTGAATCCATTAAGATTTTTATTGGAAAATGCTGAAGAAAAACTTTCTCAAATAAATGAGAAGATACAAAATTCAATTACATATTTAAGATCGTTTGAAATTCCAAATGAATTGTTAGATACGTATATGTTAGAAATTAATGAATTTTGTTATAATTCTCCAGATTATATTTTAGAACATTTCGAAGAATTTTTGGAGGATTTCAAAGAAAAGAATAATTTAATAGACTAAAAAATTTATTATTTTTATTTATTGTGAATTTTAAATTGTCACTTTTTAACTGTTACTCCCTATTGAAAGTGTCACTTTTTGGGTGTCACTTTTTCGGAAATTCTTATATACTCATGACCACTTCATTTTTGATGAAGTCAACAGCTTATGTCCACTTCCTCCCATCAACACTTGAGAAACAAGAGAAGGTCATCATTGAATACCTTCAAGCCACTGAGAAGCTCCAAAAGCTTCAAGATCTCCGCGAAGAGTTCAAGTCCCGCTTGAAACAGGAGAACTTACTGCAGGAGTACATGCTCATTTTGTACCCATTACTAGATGGCTCCCATTTACCATCAGAGTACACTGCAGCTCTTGATGCACTCAAAGATCTTCGCGAACACCAGCCGATCGGTAAAGAAGCCTTCGAGCTCACCATTGAGCAAGCCATCTTCGCCAAGCACAATGCAAAGAAGCAGATGCTCGAAGCTCTTGACAAGATCAAAAAGTACGTCGAAAAGTACTAAAAATAATTACTTGAGTAAACGATAAGTTTTATTCATTGTTTCTCTTTTCAAGATATTCTTTCATCTTGACGTTATATTTTCCTAACTCATACAAGAACGTGTAGTATGAAACTTCAACCTCACGATGCTTTTCATACCATTTCATTATGAACATGGTAAGAATTGCTTCTTCGGGATTTGAGAAGGGATCTTCTTCACCAAATACGTTGTGATGAACTCTCATTGCTTTACCTACAGATATTGGTTCATCTTCCTCAGCAATTAGGTCAAAGAACCTTTGTAGTCTTTGGCTCATTGGAAATGTCACTTTTCGGTTAAACAATAACATACTTAAGACATAAATTATACCTACTTATTAACTCAGTATATTGAGCATTATATGCATACTTAAACTCTTGAGCAATATTGTTCTCATCAATGATTCTGATCTGAGCTATTTTTGAGAAAGGTGGTGGAATACCACAACATGTGATGTCTGGGTCCAGTAGGTCTATTTCACACTTGAACCCAGTCATTCTGTGAACAACTTCTTCCAAGTCTGGCTTAGGTAGTAAGATCTGATCTTTGCTCACTAAGTTAGAAAAGAGCTCTTTGTCTTGGTCTAGAAGTATCTTCTGGTATATACTAAGTAAATACTCTTCTACACCAATCCTCGATGAAGTCTCCACAGATCTCGATGAGGTCAGGTTGGAAGTTAATGGACTTAAAGGAGGAGGATACATTGGTGCTTCTGAGTTCGTAGTTGTTTCCTCTTTTTTTATCTCTGTTGGAGCATCACTTACTGTACCAGATGGATAGTTCTTTATCACAATGTTATTAGTTGTTCTTGAATCAACATTGCTTGTTGGTTCAATTGGAAGATTAGCTGCACCATAAAGAATTGACTTCGATCTCATTTGTTATGAGTAAAAATTGTTTTATTCTCATATAAATGACGAACATTAACCCAGAGAACAACACAGAATATACTGCAACAGGAGTTGTTTACAATGATCTAGATCAGATCGTCCAACTCAAAGCCCAAGAGGAAGGAATTTAATAAGACAACCTCCACCAAAGATATATGTTGATGATGGTAGTAATGGGTTCAACTTAGTGTATCATTACTCATATCCTCAATATGCAAAAATTGGGTCTACCCAAACGTGACAAACCATTATATGAACCTTTATGATGAAGCAAGGTTTCATGCACCAACGAAGAAAGAACCTGATGCATCAAGATTACATGAATTCGCAGACCATGATGGTTATAGCGATTACTCAATGCCTGTAAGACTTTAACGTTAATAAAAAAATGACTGTTGGTAAACAAGAAAAAACTTTAATACAAGAGGATTTGATGCTACCAATATATTCAACTGATATGGGAGCTTATCAATTCGATACATTTGAGAATCCTGGTGGAACACCACCATATTTTCTTTTGTTCATCAATGTAAACAGTAGAAAAGGTTATGCGTTCCCAATGAGTGAAAAGAACTCAAACAATGTTCTAAGTGCAATGCAGAAGTTCATTTCACAAGCTACAGGTGAAATGAAGCCTACAATACTTACTAGTGATGAAGACCCAGCTTATACGACACAAAATGTTCGAGATCTGTTGGTCAGTCATAACATTGAGCACATGACGACACAGAAATACAATCATAACATACTAGGTATTATTAATAGGTTCTGTAGAACTATTAGAACTATGTTACATATGAAGTTAAACCTCAAAGAAGGTGATAAAACACCACCTTTCACTGCAGATACAATGAGACAAATTATTAATGACTACAACACTGAATATCATTCAAGCACACAACAAAAGCCTGATGATTTCACAGAAAAGGATAATGAGGAATATATAAAGAAGCAAAGATTGAAAGAAGAGTATGTCAGAAAAATAACCTTTATAACTTAAGACCTGGTCAAAAAGTTCAAGTCATAGTTGAACCAAGAACATGGGGTAAAGGTAACCAACAAAGAAGACATCTTGATCCTTCTTATTATACAGTTGATTCAGTTGATACAAGTGCATACTTGTTAAGAGCAAAAGATGGAAGTGTTGCAAGATATCCACGTTATCAGATATGGACAAAAATAGAGCATGGATTAAAGCAAGGAGAAACTTTAGATCAAGGAAGACACGGTGCTGTTAAAAGTATTGATGGTCATGAACTTGTCGGTAATGATGTAAAGTATGATGTTACGTTTGAGAACGAAAATACAGGAAAAGTGACAGGTAGAGGTATGCGTGAAGGTAATCCAAACAGGTTGTCACAAATGGAAGTACAGTATTGGAGGAAAAATATTAATGAAGGTCATGTTAAAGATATGCCTAGTTTTCTTGAGAAGTATCGTGGGTTTCGAGTTTAGCTTGTAAGTCCTTTATTTTTGTTTCATACAATGAGATCTTCCTTCTGATCTGTTCATCATTGAGAGGTTGCTTGACTTTACGGAAACTGTACACGTCCGTCTTTCATTGTATGTACATAATATCCATCAGGAACCTTACCATCTTTTATATATTCAGTTAACCACTTTTGTTTAGTTGATGCTTTAATGACTTGACTCATTTCTTACTGGATAAATTTTATGTTTTTTATCTTTTGACGATTTTTTCTTATCCTTATCTTTCTTCTTGTCCTTGTCCTTCTTTGATTTATCTTCTTCTTGTCCTTGTCCTTCTTGGACTTCTCTGCTGCAGGGTGTTGGATTCTGTTTGACTTTAGCACTTGGGTCAGGACCTTGTCTTTGAGACTTAGATATAGATTGTTTAGGAGCTGCTGCTTGTTTAGTTGCTTCAGCTTGTTGTTTAGCTAATTCAGCAGCTTGTTTATCATTCTCTTCTATTTCCTTTGCACCAGTTGCGACTTCATTCTTGAACTTTTGGAGATTCTCAGCAGCATCCATTACCTTATTCGCTCCTTTAAACAATCCATAAAATTTCTGCCATGGTGATACTGAAGGTATATTTCCACCAATTGCTGGAGGAACTGATGCTTCAGGAGTTGGAGATGGTGTTTTGTCTGAATTGAGATGCTTTTCTGCTTCAAGAACTTGTGTAGTATTTTTCTCCAGGTATGCTTTTGCAACCTCCTTAACTTCTGGACGTTCATTATTTACATCCTGTCTTGGTGTTGATGTTTCAGTAGCGTTTTCCTGAGTTACATTAACAACAGGTTGCTCAACTGCTGAAACATTAGCTGCTTCAGTAATGTTATGAGTAGTTGAAACATTTCCTGATATACCTTCTCCTGTTGGAACTCTTGGAGCAATTGTTGTGATGTTCGCCATTGCAGGAGTTGGAGTAGGAGTGTCATCAATCTTTCTGTCAGCTTTCGTCGTTTGCGTTGTAGTATTTGTTGTTTCATTACCATATTTTGATCTTAGTCTGGTAAGCTCTAACTTCATATGTTCTTCAGGATATGCATACTTATTATATTCACCCTTAATATTCTTTTTCCATTCATCGTATTTATCTTCTGCTGATTTCTTAATTGATGCTAGTCCGTTTACAGCCAATTCATCAGTACCGTTATCAGTAGTCTGGTTATATAAAAGATTAGCAGCTGATCTAATTGTGTAATCCGTAAGATTACCAAAACGCTCTATTGTACCTAATGTTGTGTTCTTCAGTTCCTTTCCAATTCCTTGTGCAGCATCTTTGACTAAATCAGCACCCCATGCACCAAATTGTCTCACAGGAGCCGCTATTGATGGTGAAGGAGATGGAGATGGCGATGGATGGATGTGGGTGGAGATGGTGAAGGAGATGGAGATGGTGAAGGAGATGGAGTTGGCGATGGTGTTGCTGCTTTCGCCTTTCTATCAGCTTCTTCCTTAGCCTTTCTATCTGCTTCTTCTTTCGCCTTTCTATCTGCTTCTTCCTTAGCCTTACGAGCTTTTTCTTTCTTCTTAAGTTCCTCTAGTTCTTTACGTTCAGCTTCTTCTTTCGCCTTTCGTTCAGCTTCTTCCTTAGCCTTACGAGCTTTTTCTTTCTTCTTAAGCTCCTCTAGTTCTTTACGTTCAGCTTCTTCTTTCGCCTTTCGTTCAGCTTCTTCCTTAGCCTTACGAGCTTTTTCTTCATAATATTTTGTATACTTATCATCAGCCCAATTACCAAGTGATTTGGCACCTGTTAGTATTCCATTTGCGGTTGATGTTGCTGTTCTTCCGAGCCATCCCCCTACCGCTGAAGCACCATTGCCAATAGCACTACCAGCATTTAAAATTCCACGACCAATCCATATCCCTGGTTTTGCCTTTGTATTAAGAGTAAGAAATTCTTCCTTCCTATCTTCAGGTGTAGGATTTGTAACAGTTCTTACAGTATCAACAACAGTGTCAACACTGGTTCCAATAGCACTACCAACAGCTGTTGCACCAGTTAGAATACCATGGGTAACTAAATCAGTAGCTCTTGAGACAACATTATCACTCGAGGCTTTCTCTGCTGGATAGTTTGATCCTTTGTAAGTTCCTGGACCACCTCTATTTGAAGCTTCTCCTTCAACTATTTTCTTCTCTTCTTGTGCTTGTTCTCTGGCAACACTCAATGCACGTTCTTGTCTTTGAATGTTGTCTTTCTTTAACATGTAACCACCAAGTGTCTGTGGTGGTGTGTTTTTATCTAGTGCAGCATCAATTGCAGCCTTTTCTTTTCGCTTTTCTTCGTCTAACCAATTTTGAATAGATTCTGCATCAGTTGGTTCAGCTGGAGTTGGAGACGGTGTTGGAGCTTTAGTTGGTGTTGGAGACGGTGTCGGAGCTTTAGTCGGAGTTGGAGATGGAGTAGGTGCTTTTGTAGGTGTCGGTGATGGAGTTGGAGATGGAGTTGGAGGTACTGTTGGTTCTGGAGTTGGTTCAACAGTCGGTGAAGGTGTTGGCGCCTTTGTGATTCTTGGAGTTGGCTCTGGTGTTCTAATAGGGGAAGCAGTTGGTGTATTAGCTCTTTTAAGAACCTGTGATCTTTCCGCTTGATTTGAATCAGATACTGGGTTAGTTGTACTAGGATGTGATACAGGAGTTATTTTTGGTGTAGGTGTTGGTTTATTTAATGTTATACCATGACTACTCGACATTGGTGGAGGACCTGCGTGAGCAGTTGGTGTCAGAGTTGGCGTTGGAGCTACTGTAGGAGTTGGCGTTGGAGCTACTGTTGGTTCAGGAGTGGGAGTTGGTGTTGGAGCTACTGTAGGAGTAGGTGTAGGAGTTGGTGTTGGAGTCGACATTTGTTTTAACCTCTCATTATACCAATTCTCCAAATAATAAGCCTCACCCATTAAGTTACTCTGTCTTTGTTTTATAGAAAATTCACCTAACAGTAATTCATCATGAATCATTTTCTGCAGCTTTGTCGTGTTTTCTACTTCCTTTATTAGAACGCTCGATGTATTCGCCAATCCTCTATATTCCTTAATCATCTTATCTAGTTTGTTCATATTTGGTACTTCCTTTTTCTTCTCAGCGTTAATCTCATTAGATCGTTTCTCCAATTCTTCAACTACTTTGTAAAGCTTATTTATCTTGACATGTGATTCCTTTACTTCTCCAGTCCTTGGATCCTTAGGTTCCTTGTATTTAGCTAATTTCGTCTCTATATATCTTCGTTTAGCGTCATATCCAGGATCACTGGTTCGTAAAGGATGCGAAGGTGGACGAAAATAAGGTATGTAGAAATCTGGATCATCATTAATAGAAGAACGTGCTTTAAAGTTACGAACCGCGTCTGTAAAAGGGTCTCTACCACGTGCTGTATATGTTGATGTAATCAAAAAGCCTTCTCTTCTCATTGGGAAATTAATACGACCTTTTTGAACATATTCTTTCTCAAAGTATTGCCTAGCATTGTAATCAAAAGCAAGATCATTATATATATCGCGCAAAAAATCAAATGTATGCTGCTTGAACTTTTGATCGCTAATTATGGTACGAATTATCGGACGTTCATTCTCCCATTTCTTAACTCGTTCATCAATGAGTTTCCTCTCTTGTTCACTCATTTAAACCTCATAAAAATATATTATCTGCGTATAGTGCCACTAATAGCATTAATCCATGGCATGTCTGATAGTACACGTACTGACTGAACTAATGGCTTATGATTGTTCCAAATAGCTCCTCCAATGTATGCGTTATACTTATTGTTGTCAATAGTTTGTTGAGGTTGAACTATAGGTGTTTCAACAGGCTTGTCTCTACTGAAGTCACCACCAAGAGCTTTATTGAATGCTTTAAGATTCTTCGTTAATGCATTATCTTCACCTAATGTAGTTTTTGCAATTCTTTCACCAAGACTACCGATAACACCACCGACTTGACCAACTTGAGGGAAAAGTTTGTTAGCAATGTTAAATCCAGCACCTATTACAAGACCAGGATTTTTTTTCACCATACCCCATCCAGCTTTAACATAATCGCCAAAACCCATTTATTTCTTCTTAAAATAATGTCATCTTTTGTTGCTTAACTTCTTTAAAGTCCGTCTTTCCTGCAACTATATGAACTTCCATATATGAACGAGGTGTTGGTAGCTCTTTGTATTTGTTCCATAACTCTTCCCAATCTTCTGTTGCTCCTGACTGTTCAATCATTGACTGAAAGTCTCTCATAGAATAACCTTGAAAGATAACGAAGTCAGTGCATAGTCTCTTAATGTTTAAACATATATGTCTCCATGTTTGACACATGATGACAACAGTATAGTTATAATGTCTGACCTTAGTGATGAAGTTCGCTAATGGTGAACGTGGGTCATTCAATAAGTCATGACCACCATAATCGTCTAACACTAATAGAGAATTACTGGGATACTTTGTGAAAGGATATTTGTTCAACTTCTTTACAACATATATTGCAATCTTCTTATACTCAAACTTTCCATCAGGTTTCCTTAGTTGATGCTTTGTTAAGATGTGTTCCATCTCCTCTGAAATTTTTTCGAACTTACTTTGAACGAACTCAACAATAGCGTAATACTTTGCTTTCATCTTAACGTTCTTCATTAAATAAGGCATAAGTTCTTTATCATCCTTTTTCAGTACTGGTGCTTTAACTTGACTCATAAATGTCTTCGCTGTTTTATCCATTGTTCCTGATGTTGCTGAGATAACTATTGAGTCATAATATGGAGTATTAGTGAAGCGGTCTGTTATCATTATATGACGAATAACACCATATGTCTTACCTGAACCCATCTTACCGCAGTAGAAATAAACACCATTAGTACAAAATGGATAATCATCAGAAAATGGCATAATGAGTGCATTGTTTAGTTCTTTACTATTCTTACGTGCTCCATCATGAAGAATCTTATCTACTTGATTAATAACTTTCTCCATCTTTTAGTTACATATAAAATGTCTAAATATGATGGATTATACTATGAACATGTTATGAATGATGGCACGATAAGTGGTAATACAGTCTCATATAAATTACCGAGAGACTTCATTGAATATCCTGCGTCAAAAGCTCTTGAGATAAGAAAGATAAGTCTTGAGCATCCAGACTTTGAGTTTCTTGCTATTCCATTAGAAATGACAGATTCATCAAAATCAGTGAAAAAAAGGTTTGACATGAGATATTACATAAAACCCAACATGACTACACAGGAGTTGAATGAAGGTCTTATGGAAAAAATGACTGAGGCAAGTAGAGAATTTGTTGATTGTTACTATGATTCAAATGAAAATAAATTGAATGTATTAAGAAAAGGTACATCACCAATCATAACATTACCTTCATACAGTAGTATAGAAAAAAATGCCTTGAATTATAAATATGACATGTCCCTAGGAGATGTGTTGGATTTCATCACTGCGTTATTAGAAACCACTGAAACAGACACAACATCAAGAAAACCAGAGCTTGTTTGGGAAGATGACCATGGTAGAACATTCACGCAAAAAGTAATTCCATCGAAAGCAAAATTTTTAGACTTATGGGAAAAAAAATATATCTCGCGAATGCATGTATATTATAGTTTTACCATAGCAGATTTCACTGACGAAAATGATAAAGATAAAAAAACATATAAGTACTTTGATGAGCTTTTCATAACTATAGCGAATATCAGGTTTATCCTTGAGCGAAAGGGCAAACCAACATATAAATTTGTCGGTTATCAGATAAGAATAAATCCTCTCCTTGAGCCTTTAGTAACGTTGAGTAATATTGCTCATGATAACAAACAATTTATATGTAATGTGAATGAACAGCTTGTGCCACCAAAATTTTACGATATCACTGGTTATAAAGATGCACTCGTGTTTGAGTTTTATAAGCGCTTTTCATTCAAAAGAGTTGAAGAATCAACTGATGGTCAAAAAAAGGAATATTATGTAAAAGAACCATATGAAATTCCTAAAGACTCTAATATAATGGTTGAACTTATATTAGAGTCTGGTACTCAATCTCAACATAAATAGTTTACGTGACAGAATTTTTTTGACACGTAAAGTTTACATTTTTAATGGAAGCGAACAACAAAGCTCCTGCTAATGCTCTTGCCATCCAGAAGCCAGAGGTGACTGAAGAACAGTCCTCTGGCGACGAGGAAATATTGATGGGTGGCGAGAGTCCGAAGACCGAGATCAAGATCCCAGATCTCGATCACAAGCAAACGGCAAAGAAAACAGGTCCTCAAGCTACTCCTCGAGAGCTACGTTTAATTAAGACCAGCCACAAGTATTTGAAGCAGCTGGAGGAGTCAAACGTAGCTCTCGAGGAACTAAAGCTCAAGCTGGCTGAAAAAGTAGAGGAAGCGAAAGGTAAAGAGCTCTACATCAGCCAGCTTGAGTATAAAGTTGACTCTTATGCCAACGAGATCTGCGATCTTCGATCTCGTCTCAACCGTGTGGGACATGAGTCAGACAGCTGGCATGAAAGGTTCCTTAAGGCTGACACATCCTACCATGAATTAAAGCGCGCCATAAGGAACTTAGCCACTGACTTCTGATCCCACACATAAGTTAAGAATAAACGCTTAATTTTATGCATATAACTCTTATTTTTACTCATATAACTTATAGTTCATTGTCACTCAGATCACGATCAACTTAGGAAAAGAGAAAAAGTATAAAAGTTAGTATAATTAATTGTTTAGTCTTAAGTAAGCTTATTGTTCATCAAGGAGTTGATGTAAGCGTTTCTTTGCCTCCGTGATCTGCTTCTTTTATAAGCTTACAGTTAAGCCAACAGCAGAGTCTATTAAATATACTGAGAAACCAGTGTTATGCTTCTTACGTCACGTTTGCCTCTCCATACAGATTAAACAGGTGGGACCACCTATCGTACTTCTCGACGATTATGATTTATCAGCCCCTGCTAGTGAATAAAGGTTAGTTTACATATGAACGTTTATTTTTACACATATATGCGTACATATGCGCGCCCGTATGGTGTCAGTTTTCTGTCACTTTTTTCATTGTGTCGGTGACTGTAGCTGTAGGCTACAGGCGACGCACAATGTATACTGTACTCGCTCGTTTCGGTTGAGTGGGAAAAAAGCTAAATTAATGATTCCATTTTATTGATATTTATGTGATCAAGCGTTTTCTCATATTGCGAATGATTTATCCAGCAATTCGGGGTTCAAATATTTTTTACATTTTGATTTTCTTTGAGATTCTTTTTAGCATTCATGTAAAGATTATATTTTGAGCAAATTTCAATATTTGACATAAATATCATGCCGAGAAATGTAATCTTAAAACTAAGCATTGCATGCACTCTAGCTTAGATGTGGCCAATATATTTGGTTCATGTACGAAATACGCAATTACAAAGAGCAATTCTGATCAATTCGGAAATTGAAAGTTGTACAGATAAATAAAGTCATTATAATGATGCAAATGGGCATGAATTGGTCAATAATTAAACAAATGTTTATAAAAAAGAAAATATACAACAAAAAATAAAAAATATAATTAATATAAAGATGTTTTTGGTCTTTGAGACAATTTCGGCTGCGGAGTTTGCATTCCAATAATCTGCTTAAGAGGTCCCACTTGGATAAACTCAGGGTTAGAGGTCATTCTTACGATTAATTCGAGTTCTGCACAATCAGCATCATCAAAGCCAGCTTTTTGAGCAGTTTCGATCAATTCTTTGAGATTTATATAAATCTTAGACTTATCGGATTCATTGACAAGGTTCTCCATCTTAGATTTTGTCAAATGCATCGGATAGTCTGGATTTGGAATTCCTCCAGCGCGATCTGATAGTACTTTCAAGTGTTCAGATAGCGTGGAGTGATCATATTCGAAAATCGGCTTTGGACATCTTGGATTATCCTGATATCTCAAGAATTTTTCGGAAAATCTCTCCATTTCCTGCTGGTGTTTCTTGCAGACTATATCCTTGAACTCTTTTGTGAGTATGGCTTTGCCCTGGCTGACGAGATGGTCGATATTATTTTTTTCGGTTACAAATTGACTGAAAATTGTTGACAAAACTTGGACTTCGATTTTTTGGGACTCAGAGTTGCATTTTGTAGTGCAAATATGGAGGAATTCTGCGACATTATTGAATAGTGTCTCTTCTTCGGCACTTTCTTCTGCTGATTCTCTGAAATTCGAAGTGGATTTGGATAAGATCGTATTTAATTCAGTGGGAACGTCCCATTCGCCACTGGAGCTTTGTTCTTTGGTATAGTTGAGTGGTTTGACTACTGTTGAATACGTCATTAGCCTGTGTTGAGCTAATTTAGACTTATTCGAGTGATTTACGCCAGGAGCCATGATTTTAGGGCCTCTTGTTGGCGAGCAAATGATCGCTTGTGGTCTTTTCTTATTTGTTTGCTCTAAAAACTCAGGAATTTTTATACTTCCATCTCCGTTGATATCTATATACATAATCTCAGCCGCTCGCTTCAAATCGCACTCTTCTACGTCTTCTATTTGAGGATCTACAATTTCAGGAGGTTCCTCCGACGGCTCGAGGAGATATGATCTATATTTGTTTATTACATGCATAATTACTTGAAATCTCCACATTAACGACATGAATACGTTTTCTACATCATCGTTTGTTAACGCTTTTGTTGCGTTTATGCCTACAGCGTTAATTATTTGTTCTGCCAACAAATTCTGCTTATCTCTGTTTGAATCTGCTAGATCCCATATCTCATTAAAGTACTTTGACTGATTTATCTCGTTTTTGAGGAACTTGTCGGTGATTTCTTCGCGTTCATCCTTGACATTTATTTTCAGATTGAATTTGTCCCTCGTGAGGCTCATAACATTGGTTATATGTTTGTTCATGCTACTTAGATCGGAATATCTTGATCCTAACTCCCTTCCGAACTTAGGTAATAAAACTTTGTTCCAATTATCGAAGAAATCATTGCAGAACTTGGCGTATTTAAACTCCTTCTTGTTCTCGTACTTGTAAACAGGTGGTTTTACTTCAATATTCTGCCTGTTTTCGATGATTTTAGCGATTAATTCATTTACAGCTTTGAAAAGATCAGTAACAAACGGTAAATAGCCAAGAATTAATAGTTGTGTCACTTTCTTAAATGATTTCTCCAAATTGTGAAGGTTTGATGAAGATTTTGAGTTCGGATCGATATTTGCAGGGTAATCTTCAAGTTCTACCTCATTTGCGTAGCTGCTTGATATGAAATCAGGTGGATAAAATGATTTACCGAGTATTTGGCCGGATTTTTTATCAAATATCCTCTGATTTGATAATTCTTGGGTTTGTTCAGGAGTTATATCGATTTTAATGAATGCAGAGATGCCACCAACAGTCTTTGTGCCTCTGGCCAACACTATTTTCTCTAATTGGCCAATTTGGGATTTATTTGTTGGGAAATTTATCAAAACTAAGCCTTCTCCTTCTTCCAAGTTCTGATGGATGGTTGTAAGTGTCTGTAGATTGACTTTGTCGTCTGTTTCTGTAATTAAATGGACTTTTTCATTTGCAATTAATTTATTATCTGATGATTGAACGAATTTAACGATTTGGACCTTCAAAAACGATTGCAAGTACTGCGCTATTGTTGTTTTGCCTGAGCACTGGCTACCTGCAATGCAAATAACGAAAGGAAAGTTGACTTTTTCGATATTTTCGAGATTTTGTTGATATTTCGTTTTTTGTTCGAAAGATTTCTCGAGTAATTCTTCAATTTCGCTGTTCTCATCGTATTTCATTTTGTCTTCTGTTGTTATCTTGAGTAAATTCTGTAATGCTTGTAAATACGGAATTCCGTACATTTTCTGGGGCGGAGGAGGGTTAAAGTAAGAAGATCTTGTTTTAGGTATATCTCCTCCCTTCGAACTTACAATAGACATTGTTGTTTGAGGACGATCAACTTTAAAATCTCCTTCGGAATGAAAATTAATTCTTGCTCTTCGTACAGACTTCGGATCTGGGTCATTAACTGTTTCAAATGCCAATGCCAATATATCGTACAGTGTTTCTTCGCAAAACTCAAAATGTTTTTCTTTTTCTTTTTCACAGCGTTTTGCTGATAATTCTTTATGCAATTCAGCATCGAGAACAGGTATTGGTATAATTGTTGTTGTCCAAAGTGGTTTTGGTGGCTTCTCTGGCTCTGGAGGAGGTTGAATTTCTTCTTCTGGTGGAGGAGTCTCTATTTTGCCTTTTCCTTTAAGTAGCTTACCCTTCGTAGGTTGCTTAGAGATCCCTTTTGACTTTGGTGGTGGTGGCTTCACTAGCTTTGGCGGAGCCATTTGTTTTTTCAAAAGATCTTTTTTATTGGATACTTTTTTTACATGATTTTTGTACGTTATTTCGTATTGATATTGGCGTGTAGCACCGATAGAAAAATGAAATTAATCAGATAAGTATCTGTAGCAGCTAAAATTATATATGATTTTCAAATTGTCAAAGTTTTTTTACAGTTCGAAATTCAAAAAGATGAAATATCAAAATTATAATTGATTCTATCATATTTTATGATACACATCAGTTTTCACTGATTAATTTACTGTGAATACTAAATTGAATCATTTTCATATAATAGAATTAAGGACAGTTAGTTTAGTTTCATACTTTATTGGTAATATAGTGATTAATTTTACCCTCTTGGCAAGTATTATCAATTATTATGAATAAAATTTTGAGATATTCGATTTATTTCATTGGCACTCTGTGTGAATTTAGTGAAGACAGTACATATAGTTTGTGTGCTTTTTGTAGAATCAAACTGTCAATACCCAGATTTGCCTTACTTTTACCACCTCTCTAAAGCTGGGGACACCGCCTATCGTTGGGAGTAGCTATTAAATAGAACCACCAAGGGTATTTTTCGAACTGCTGGTGTAGTGTAGTGGAAACATCCGATATAATAATTCATTATGCTAAGGTTTGATTATCCTTTAGTCAGTTTTTTTCTTTTTTGGATCATGAATTTTTTTTTGGGTCACTATAAGATTTGTTTCATGTTCTAAATCTGCTGCATATGTAATCTATTTTTATTTACCTATTTTTTAAAAATCTATTGGATTGCCAAATTTGAATATATTTAAAATCATAAAACTCCAAAAAAACTATAAATATATGTTTTATGCATAGTGCCGATACTCAAATATCAGATTACTTAGATCCATGAATAATATCCGAATTTTTTTTCTTAAAATTAAACTTCAAAACTTCTTGCAATCTTATTCTTCATCAATTGTAAATTTTTAAAACCATTTTTTAAAATAATTTTGCGTAAATTTTATTCTCATGTTGTTTTAATCGAAAATTGATACATTTTCAAAAAAATAATATTGACTTATGAAATTCATTTTTAAGGTGAAATAGTATTGTTTTTATTAAAGTATATGAATAATATATAAAAAATTAATGAATAATATAAGCAGATTTTTAGTTTACAAAACAAATATGAGCAATGCAATTTCAAACTTTTGCTGGCAATTTCGATATTGCTCAAGTTTGTAGTATTTGTGATACCTATAACATCGGCTTAATCAAAATTCGATTTTTCTTATGAGTTATTGAGAAAATTTGATTGCAATGAGAAGGATTTCGACGTTTTTGATAAACTAAGAGCTGAGCTTTAGGGGTTCAGTTCATTTATGGCTGTAGTTTGATGCGTAGATCTCTTTTTTATTGTAAATTCTTTCAGCATGGAGATCGAGAATGAATCTTTTGAGAACTTTATGAGTTTTTACACCCGTAAAGAGGTCCTTCGAGGAAAGATAGTCCAAACTACATGAAGATGTGGGTTAACCAAAAAAATCCGATGGTTCCCCCATATTCATGTAGATCTTCGAAAAAATGAGCACCAAAAAAGCCAAAAAAATAGGCTTTTTATTGGATTTGTACACTAGATCAATAATCTATTTAGGATCTGACACTCTTTTTAGCCAGAGATATGAGGTCCTTTCTAGGAAAACGATCTATTCATTCATAAAAAAAATGAATTATCGTTTTCCCCAGAAATTACATGGGGAGTGGTAAAAGTAAGGAAAATCTGGGTAATAAAATTATAAAGTAAGATATTTACTTTTAGAAATGAGAGAGTGAGAGCTTTCTCACTCACTAGATTTTTCATTATGAGATATTTGCAGAAGTGCAAATGGGATTAAAATCTAGGAAATTAACTTTTTTTTTCACTTACTCAACTTTGAAGAGGGCAACACCGAGTCCATTGAGTTGGATGTCGTATGCACCGTTCGATGATGTGTATGTTCTGCCGCTGATCAAGTCTGTGAGTCTTGAACCACCAACCTGGTAGTGTGTTGTGACAGAGTTGTATGCGAGGTTAGCAGCGAATACGACTTTGTTTCCTGTCTGTGAGTCGTACTTGCAGTTGAAGATGCATCCGTTGTTGAATGTCTTTCCGTTCGATCCTCTCCAGAGTGATGGGTTCTCACTGCGGATTCTCATGACCTTAGCTGTGAAATCGTGGAGGTCTTGTTCGCGAGAGTTGAAGCCACCTGTTCTTCCATTTGTACGTGCTGCATTGTCACTGTATGTGTTGCCGCCGCATGAGCCACCTTGGCCGTACCAGCATTCTGCGATATCACCATATTCATCACCGTAGTAGATTGTGATTGGGCCTGTGTATGCTGCGAGGATGCCGATTGCGATCTTGTGTCTGTTCCAGTATGCGTCGTTCTCACGTGCGTATCCGTACTTGCTGCGGATGAGATTTCCGAAGCGCCAGACATCGTGGTTTGTGATGAACAAGTTTGGATAGACCTGGCCGCTGTATCCCTTCTCAGATGGGTGTCTTGAAGATATTGCCGAGGTTTTCGACTGGGTAGCCACCTGCGCCTGACTCTTCCATTGCGATTGACTGGACGAGATTGTATCTTGATGGGAAGTCGAATGCTGAGCGGAGACCGTTCTGGCCGTATGTTCTTGTGTTAATGTCGCCTGCGCCGGACCAGTGTTCACCAACGATGTAGCCGAGTGTGCCCCACTTATCGCCTCTGTTCCTTCTCTGGTTGCAGCAGTCTTCGATAGCCTGTCTGATCTCGCTCATGTAGTTGTGGCCGTTCTGGTACATCTGGTAGCACTGATCGAGTCTCCAGCCGTCGATGCCATACTTCTCAATCCAGTATGTTGCAACTTCCTTGTAGAAGTCGAGAGATCCTGGATATGAAACTGGGTTAGAGCCGCCTTGTGGCCATCTGCCGCTTGGTGATGCGCTTCTGACGCCGCCATGATGACCGAAAACACCATCAAGGATGACGTAGAGACGAGTTCGTGTGCCTTGTTGACGAGCTCTCTGAAGGTGCCTTCGTCACCGAAGTTTGGATCAATATTGAAGTAGTTTGTTGCGAAGTAGCCTGTTGATTGGAGCATCGAACCACCTTGGCCAAAGATGAATCGAAGATTGGTGTCATCCAAAGTGCGTTGACATTGAGGCCCTTGATGTATGGGAGTGCGTTGATAATACCGCGGAGGTCACCTCTGTGGGAAGATGGACCATATCCTGTTCCGTAACCACGTGAACCATCACCATCTTGGAAAGATGAAACCATGACTTGGTACATCCTGATGTTGTTGAAGTCTTCTGACCTCGCTAAGCATGATAGAATAGAGAGTATACCTATCATTTGAACTTTCTAAAAATGATATAAGATCGATTGAGTTGATATAAAGTCAGTTTTCAATCACTTCTCAAAACTCTACCGCGTACTTAAATAATTCTATGTAAATCCATAGTTCTTCTCAAAATTTGAGACAATTTACATTTTTCTATTCAATTTTGGCTATCTTATCACATTTTTGACACTTTGATTGGATCGCATTGTTATTAGATTTTTGATTCTTATATTCATGATCTATCTGTCTAATTTGTAATTTTATAGATTGAGTATAATGCCAATAGATACAACTTGTTTTAAAAACATTTTTAGAAATTTTATTAATTTGATATTAATGAATAGATAATATCAAATCATATGTGATGGGTATCTAGTAAATATCAGCATAAAACAACGTAATAATATATCAATATCAAAATGATAAAAATGGAGCAATTTTTTCTGAATAAAAACATCAATCAAATATCGATGTCTAAATTAATTTGGACAAATATGATAATATTAAAGTCTTGAGGAATTTTGGAAACTAAAGTACTCACAAAATCTAGATTGAGAGGCGGTCAATGACTTTTGAGGGGAAATTAACGCATGGAATTTAATATTATTTAGGTTGATATTCTTGCTTATTATTTCAGAAAAAAATCTTAAAAATTTCAATATGAAAATTGAAAGCAATTCAAAAAAATTGCTAACATGTAAATTTTAATATCCTATGCATAATTTCATATTTTGAACATTTTTTATTTTTGTTTAAAACTTAAAATTTTGCGAATTTAATATAATTTATAAAATATAATACGTATATATATTTAAAATACACTAAATTTAATTGTTAATTGACGTTTTTGGGAATGAATTTTATCAAAACATGCCTGAATCCGAAAATTTGAAAGAACGAATTACACAATCATATATGTAGAATTCAAAATACAAACTTAAAGATTGTATACGTTTAAAATTATTCAGATTGTGTTTGATTTCCACTCATTCTGTTTCTTTTGAACTCTAACACTAACATTTCATGATGATTACATGATCCATTTATACATGGTTGAATTGTTCCAGATTCTACCAGAAAATCAATACAAATTTCTCAATGCATTCATGTTGATTGGACAAAATTTAAAATTTATTAGCCTGTTTCCAGAGAAACTCATATATTCCCTAATGAAATGTAATTTTTGCAACATTTATTTCAATCAAATTTCAAAAAATTGACTGCAGAGCTTGAAAAGGTGATGAATCATGTTGTTATTAGATGTACATATTAGATTTACTATTTCCAAAAAAATGCTCAAATTTGAATAGTTTTTAGAAAATTTGGAATTACACTCCTTACATTATATATAATTAAATGTTTAAATTTTATTTATTTTTCCCTTTTAATTTTATAACGTGCTCTATCAAAACTAACCTCTCAATTGAAGGCCACAAAATCTAAGTAGTGAGGGTACACAAATTTTGTATGGAGTACGGTTCAATTTTTGAGAGCCTCACTACTTAGATTTTGTGACTACCTTATGAAATCATTTTCATTGTTTTTATAAATTTGACACATTCAAAATGAAAATCTAAAATATTAATCCTTATAATATGGTTGATACTTTACAGACGATTTTTGTGTTGTGGCAATTAGCCAAATTTGAATATCCTCTATCGCAACGATTAAAATGAACTCAAAATGATCTTTTAAAAATGCAATTGACAATGAAAATAGTACTGAATGACTTGTACGTTAATAATATTTGATGGAGAAAATCTCAAAACTCTACCGCATTCTCAAAAAATCTGAACCCATTTGATATATTATATTTTTCTCCATCAAATATTATTAACGTACAAGTCATTCAGTACTATTTTCATTGTCAATTGCATTTTTAAAAGATCATTTTGAGTTCATTTTAATCGTTGCGATAGAGGATATTCAAATTTGGCTAATTGCCACAACACAAAAATCGTCTGTAAAGTATCAACCATATTATAAGGATTAATATTTTAGATTTTCATTTTGAATGTGTCAAATTTATAAAAACAATGAAAATGATTTCATAGTTTCCAAAATTCCTCAAGACTTTAATATTATCATATTTGTCCAAATTAATTTAGACATCGATATTTGATTGATGTTTTTATTCAGAAAAAATTGCTCCATTTTTATCATTTTGATATTGATATATTATTACGTTGTTTTATGCTGATATTTACTAGATACCCATCACATATGATTTGATATTATCTATTCATTAATATCAAATTAATAAAATTTCTAAAAATGTTTTTAAAACAAGTTGTATCTATTGGCATTATACTCAATCTATAAAATTACAAATTAGACAGATAGATCATGAATATAAGAATCAAAAATCTAATAACAATGCGATCCAATCAAAGTGTCAAAAATGTGATAAGATAGCCAAAATTGAATAGAAAAATGTAAATTGTCTCAAATTTTGAGAAGAACTATGGATTTACATAGAATTATTTAAGTACGCGGTAGAGTTTTGAGAAGTGATTGAAAACTGACTTTATATCAACTCAATCGATCTTATATCATTTTTTAGAAAGTTCAAATGATAGGTATACTCTCTATTCTATCATGCTTAGCGAGGTCAGAAGACTTCAACAACATCAGGATGTACCAAGTCATGGTTTCATCTTTCCAAGATGGTGATGGTTCACGTGGTTACGGAACAGGATATGGTCCATCTTCCCACAGAGGTGACCTCCGCGGTATTATCAACGCACTCCCATACATCAAGGGCCTCAATGTCAACGCACTTTGGATGACACCAATCTTCGATTCATCTTATGGCCAAGGTGGTTCGATGCTCCAATCAACAGGCTACTTCGCAACAAACTACTTCAATATTGATCCAAACTTCGGTGACGAAGGCACCTTCAGAGAGCTCGTCAACAAGGCACACGAACTCGGTCTCTACGTCATCCTTGATGGTGTTTTCGGTCATCATGGCGGCGTCAGAAGCGCATCACCAAGCGGCAGATGGCCACAAGGCGGCTCTAACCCAGTTTCATATCCAGGATCTCTCGACTTCTACAAGGAAGTTGCAACATACTGGATTGAGAAGTATGGCATCGACGGCTGGAGACTCGATCAGTGCTACCAGATGTACCAGAACGGCCACAACTACATGAGCGAGATCAGACAGGCTATCGAAGACTGCTGCAACCAGAGAAGGAACAGAGGCGATAAGTGGGGCACACTCGGCTACATCGTTGGTGAACACTGGTCCGGCGCAGGCGACATTAACACAAGAACATACGGCCAGAACGGTCTCCGCTCAGCATTCGACTTCCCATCAAGATACAATCTCGTCCAGTCAATCGCAATGGAAGAGTCAGGCGCAGGTGGCTACCCAGTCGAAAACCTCGGCAATATCTTCAAGACACCATCTGAGAAGGGATACAGCGGCCAGGTCTATCCAAACTTGTTCATCACAAACCACGATGTCTGGCGCTTCGGAAATCTCATCCGCAGCAAGTACGGATACGCACGTGAGAACGACGCATACTGGAACAGACACAAGATCGCAATCGGCATCCTCGCAGCATACACAGGCCCAATCACAATCTACTACGGTGATGAATATGGTGATATCGCAGAATGCTGGTACGGCCAAGGTGGCTCATGCGGCGGCAACACATACAGTGACAATGCAGCACGTACAAATGGAAGAACAGGTGGCTTCAACTCTCGCGAACAAGACCTCCACGATTTCACAGCTAAGGTCATGAGAATCCGCAGTGAGAACCCATCACTCTGGAGAGGATCGAACGGAAAGACATTCAACAACGGATGCATCTTCAACTGCAAGTACGACTCACAGACAGGAAACAAAGTCGTATTCGCTGCTAACCTCGCATACAACTCTGTCACAACACACTACCAGGTTGGTGGTTCAAGACTCACAGACTTGATCAGCGGCAGAACATACACATCATCGAACGGTGCATACGACATCCAACTCAATGGACTCGGTGTTGCCCTCTTCAAAGTTGAGTAAGTGAAAAAAAAAGTTAATTTCCTAGATTTTAATCCCATTTGCACTTCTGCAAATATCTCATAATGAAAAATCTAGTGAGTGAGAAAGCTCTCACTCTCTCATTTCTAAAAGTGATTTTTGCTTTTATAATTAAAGCTCTTTTAAATCTTTTGTTGGCAAAGAAAAATCAATAAACTGGAGCGACTGTGGTAGATTCTATTCATCAAGAGCCTATTTCTACGAAATAATCAAAAACTATCAAAATATTTCTTTCCATAGAGTTTAAATAACGATATCATTTGAATATCATGGTCATAAAACTTTTGTTTTAGATGTTTATCCATGCATTTATGTTTGATATTTGCATGTGAAATCTAATTTATTACAAAGTCAAGCAAACAAAAATATTTGAAAGTAAGAAAGTATTTTATGATACAATAATATGTTTACAAAGTACAAATTTTACAAATCAAACAATTTATTAAATATCCTTTTTCCACTAAGTATCTTTCCTTAACTTTTGGAAAATCTATATAGATTTGTAGTAAATATCCGCATAATAAGTGAAAAAAGAAATAATATTATAAATATTGTCCTTAAACTTCAGAAGCAGCTTCAGGACTTGGTTGTTGATCAACTTGATCCTCTTCCTCTTTAGATTTCGAACCTCTCCTCTTTGTGCTGGATCTACGATGAGATTTCTTTGGTTCATCGTCATTTTGAGCCGCATCCATGCTTGGAGATTCTTCATTATGCTTCTTTTCCCATCTTGGGAGGACACATTTCCAGAAATACCAAACTGATAAAATTACCAAGATAATTACGGCCAAAACGATCAAAACAACAGCATAGAATGGGAATGTGTCATCTGATCTCTTAATTTTGCCATAAGTCGTCAATGTTGCATCAATTGAGCAACTTGTGTCAAAAATTGGATACATGAAGCCATAAACCATCTTAAGACCGTTCTGTGCTGCAGTTGCGTTGTTTCCTGTTGGTGGTTTTGTTATGCATCCCATTGAACTTGCGAATGCTGTTGATCCGGAGTCTCCGAAGCAAACTCTAACAGCGCAAGATGTTTGAGGCATGGATAATGATGGGTACTCACTAATATCAACGCTTCCGAAATGAGCGTTCTCGAATCTGAAATAGAATTTCTCCCTTGGATTCAAAACCTTCGAAAATTTTTTATTGAATTTTATCTCTTCGTATTCGAGCTGGCAATAGGCGCCTGTTTTCTCTGGAGGACATTTGCAGGTGCCATCGCCTTGACATTCACCATCGCCACAGCTTCTCACGCAACTGCGCTCAGAAGCTAAAGGAACTGACGGATTATTCGAATTTGTGTCATCTTGATCGAATCCGCCCATAATTGCAACAGAAAAATTGACATATGTCATGTCATGTTCATGTGTTTCATCTTTGTTGAAAATGACACTTATCTCATAGGTTCCTATCGTTGCATCTGAAATTGTCACTTTTTCTATCGTTGATGTAAATTCCCCAGGAACTCCATTTCCGTGGTAAATTTTTCCATTAGGATCTTTTACTATTAAGTCCAAGTCTGCGCATAAGATATATCCTGCTTTTGTGCCGCCAGGATAATCAACATAACACAAAGTGATGGATAAATCATGAACTTTTGTTGTTTTTATGATATATGTGAGGTGTTCGCCATTATTTATCTTGCTGTTAGATATAAATCGTACTCCTGATGATCCAAATCCCAATCCTTCTGCAATAGAAGGCATTCCAAACCCTTCAATGTAATTTGGAACGGGTTTGCTATCAATAGGCTTGCAACTATTGATTAGAGTTGCTCTGAGAAGTGACTGTGATATGTAGTTGAACTTAGTAATCGAATCTGGATTCAATAATGGATAATATCCTTCTGCAAAGTATTGTTCTATAAGAGCTAGTGCACCAGATATTGCTGGTGTGGCCATTGATGATCCTGAGTTTGAAAATAACTTGGAAACTGCACATTCTCCAATATAATTTAAATTTTGTGTTCCTGAAGCGGCAGAAGACCAAATATTTGAACCAGGAGCAATCAAATCTGGTTTAAGAGTACCGATTGTGGAGGCTCCTTGTGATGAATGATCTGCTTGGAAGAAGCGAGTTGTTTTTTCGTTTGGATCCAAAAGAATGGAGCCAGAACCCCAAGCACTAGCTGTAGTATAATCATTACTACTAAGAACTACGTATGAATAAGAAACCGATGAGCTACTTGAAAGTTTTTTGTTGCAAATCAATAATTTTCCGGATTCTGAGGAACATGATGCAGCATCTCCATTGCAAAACTGTAATGGAATATTAACATAAGGAGCATCTTCATGAACAAGGTTATTTCCTTGGACAATTGATAATTTTGTGTCTCCATTTGTAAGATAAATTGTATAACCGCCATCTTTAAAGTCAGAAGACTCCTCAAGTTTAGCGATCCATGCAACTGAGAGTAAGTTCTTGCAATTTGCAGGAGCTAAAATATGATTTCTTCCTGGAGTGTTTCCATTTGCAAAAACAGGAAGAATTTCTTGACTATTAAATGTAATGGTATCATACGTATCTGTTGCATCAAGAGCAGAGTTATCAAAAGTCCATGAATTTGATTGAACTCTTGATTTAATATTTTCCATGTTAGAAGTAATTTTATCTATATCTGGATTACCTGAAAGATCGACTCTGCTGTCGCTATTTCCCATATCAACTACGTATAATTTAGCTTTTGGAGCAATTCCATTGTAAGCTGCAATTCCAGCCTTTGGATCGATAGACTCTCCAGCAATAGTACCCATAACATGTGTTCCATGGCCTTGTGCTGCATCGTAAATGTCAGAAACTTTTTCTAATTTCACAATTTTTCTGTGATCCATATTAAATTTATCTACAACACTTGTTGCACTCTGTTGTGGGTCTCTAAAGAAACAATGAGTAAGATCAACACCTGTATCTAAAGCCGTAATAATTCTTCCTTTTCCGTCAATATTGTGTTGTAAGAGAGTTCTATGGGAAATTATTTGATCGTTTTGGGCGGTCATTGTAATTACTCCGTCTTGTAAAAGACCTCCCGTATAACGATTATTTAATATTTTTCTAGGATTTTTGATGTAATTTAAGATTCTTTTATCATTTTGTATTTCATGGCTCGAAATGTTACTGATGATATAATGGTTCCGATAAAATGGGTATATTTCAGATTGATTAGTTTGGAACATTCTCCAATCAGGTGAAACTTCGATCATGTAGTCTCCATATTCAAGTGACTCTCTGGTTTCTGACTTGAAAGAGGGAATCTCGTAAATTTGTATTTGTTTTATTTTTTTCGCAGTTAAAAGTTGAGTTTCGTTTAAGTAAACTGTATACCATCCCTGTTGCATCATATTTGTAATATTTAAATTGCAGCCAATTGTTTGCTCAATGAAAATTTTATCTTGGATAGTTAAAGTAACGAGAAATCTCAAAAAAAGCCAGCCGAACAGTGTAGTAGGACTCAGACTGAATTGAGACATATCGAAAACTTGATTTTTGTATACTAAACTGCTGGCCCCTGGTAAATACATATAAAAATTTTGTAAACCCTGCCCAAAAAAAATTTTTTTGAAATAAAAAAATTATAAAAAGTAGATTTTTATAAGGTTAATGAGCATAGAGGATTAGAAACAAGATTTAAAAGAAACTGTATTTTTACCTGTAAACAAATGATGGAAACATGAGGTATCTGGAGTATTGAATTCCAATGATGAAATGATATGCCTTATGAGAATAGAATTTATGTTGGAAAGGTAAGAATGATAAACTGTTAATATTGATTTTCAATTATAATTTGATAAAGAATGAGAAAGAAAGATGAATTGAAATATAATCCGATTGTACTAAAATTATTGATTATGTAATGAAAACTAGATAAATTCGATAATTTCATACAATTATGAAAAAAATTGAAATTTGAAATTTTAGAATAAGATTAATATAGGAGGTGTGGGTGTAAAGTATGGCATGAGGTGAATGAATTGTTGATATTTTGGCTAGTCAGGTAAGTGTTGAAAAAATCAAAAATTATGGTTTGTTCGAAAATAAAAAAAAAATTGAAGAATATTAAAGAAGAAGAGGAGTTGTATATAGTATATTCAGGTTAATTTAAGATTGCAATCAGAAAGGTTATCCAATAGGTATTGAATTTGTCTGTCAGAAGTTGAAGATTATGGAATTTATATATTTAGAGTGTGTAGAGAAAATTGATATAAAAAAATTCGTCAAAAATGTCAAAACAGGTATTTGACAGCCATTGTTGTCAAAAGAGTTGAGATCTAGTCTACACACTCTATTGAAATAACTTAATTTTGAAAATTAATGAAAATTATCAAAAGTTAGTATAATGCGTTAAATAAGGAAACAAAGCAAATGAGCGAAATAATGGGACCTTATCAGATTTACAAATTTGAAAGGTTGCAGTTGATATTGAAAAAGCAGATCAAAGTTTTCAAAATTAATGAGGAAATTAAATGCGGATGATAAATATTTGATAGTTTATATCATTAAATTTCTTGAATTGAATACGATAGTGACGTTAAAATCACAATTGTGAAAAATAAATTCTATGATAATAATTGTTTAGTTTTATGACATATAATATTTGAATGCATTCAATTTAATTTTGATACAATTTGAAACTTATCACCTCATTTCTGACCATTCAAATTGATTTCAGTTTTTAAAACATAGATATATAAAGTTATCGTGTTATACATATCTTAAATTTATGAAATCATTGAAAAGAAATTGGTTCTCACTCCAACGTGTTTATTTCAAGTTTAACTTTGCAAAAAAAGAATGTATATAGACATTACGTTGGAACCTCTAGATGATTTCAAGCTCGTTTATGTGCCGTTCGAAAAAGTAAACTCCTTTTTTTTATTTAGGTACCCTATTCAATTTCTATCGTCACCATATGGAGAGGTCAGGCCCATATCATAAAACATTAAGTTTGGACTTACTAAGACATGTAAGAATTACCTTGCTTGTATAGGGGCATTAAATACTTTTAGATGCTAAAATCTTCAAAATTAATTTAATTTGATATTCAAAATATGCACGGAAACGTAAATAAATACGGATCTAGCTCTCACATATCTCTATTTTAAGCATTGATAAGTATTTCTACATTCTATTTTAAAAAATATTCAAATTTCACAATATTCTTTTCATTGATAATCTACATATTAACGAGAATGATATAACTTTTCATGTGTTTAGAAGTTCTTAGCTTTAGTACTGTATTGTTGAAAAAATTATTGAAGACTTTTTTCTTTTTGAGAAATTAATGCAATAACCAAAGAGGAATTGCATATGCTGCGCACTAAAATTATAGAAATGTCTCTAATTAGACACAAATAGAGATATTCGGAAATAAAAATTTGAAATTTTGATCAAAAACGCTATTTTCTAATCATTTTTATTTTAACTATATATAAAGTATCTTTTTCTATAATTTATACTTGATGGTTTAAAAGACGTTTAGACTCAAAATTTTACTGCATTTCATGTGGTAACTATGCTTTATCACTAACTACCTCCTTGTTTCAACCCTGAACAATATATTATACCTCCCAATGCAGGTATTACTCCAACAAAATTAGCAATTTGGCTATTGTCTAAAATTTTCTCAAAGAAAGAGGAGTAAAGTCCCATTTTTAGAATTCGAGCTATATTAGAATGCAACTTAGACAAAAGGTTACAGTTTCAATACACATATTCAAAAAATTTGCATTCGAAATTTAAGATAAAGTACAATTTCCAAAAAAGAGTATCGAATCAGTGCACGAATATGCATTTACATGCTTACACTAGCTTGCACTAGTATTAATAATTTTGAAATTAATTTTCAAATTATTCCCATACCTTTTGCAAAATTATTATGCTTATGATTCTAAGCATAGTTAAGCGATCTCGAATTTGAATTGCTAAGAAAAAATAATTAGTAAAAAATTTGTCTATGCATTCTGTATGATGCTACTAACTATATTAGCAGCATACCTAAAATCTTTTCAATATTTTTGAGGGAATTTGAATGGTACCCCTTCAATTTTGTGAGGGACCCCCTTCATTTTTTGAATAGGGTACCTTAAATAGAGGTAGGGCAACGATAGGTCAAAAAGGCTTCTCTGATAGATTTCCTTGCCTTTTGGATATGCTATAATATATAGCCTAGCATGATAGGATATGATGTCAAAAGTTAGAACATAACTATAGATCCAAGGTGATGTGATTTTTGCATCCCTGGGATGGACGATACACCCAAAGTGTCACCTTTTTTGGGATAACATGAATTTTAAATATCATGAGAGTTCTGCAAACCATATGCACAATATCTATTCAGCCTGACTTCTTGTATATATGAGTTAGACTTCTTAAATATTGTGCTTGGGGCGATATAAGTATTTCCGAGATTACCATCGTGCTCTATAGTATGCTACTTCTCCCTGGTTCTAGCTCAGTTCCAAGGATATTGGCGTTCAAGGATTTGGCAAGGTCCTTCCGAAGTCTCTCATTCGATGAGAGATTTCGGAAGAATCTTGCCTTAAAGTACTCCAACTCTTGTTCTTTTGTTCCTAAATAGTGAGAAAAGTTATTTGACTACTTAAGGTAGAGATTATCCGAGGTCCCTCATTTGATGAGAGGCCTCGGATAATCTCTGCTTTAAAATTGTACACTTGTAGTCCATGAGAGTGTAAGTATACATTGATAGGACAGCTTTCTTCTGAAGTCTTAGATTTGATGAGAACCTCAGAAGAAAACTGTCATATTTTATAGTAAAAGGAGTTTCAGGAGCTCCAAAGCTCCCTTTCGTAAGGATTAGGAGCTTTGGAGCTCCTGGTTCGTAGATGTGTTTCGCATCTTTCATCAGCAAAGGACATTTACCATCTGGGACTCTGTTGATGGAGACTCAGGAGCTCCAAAGCTCCCTTTAGTAAGGATTAGAAGCTTTGAAGCTCCTGGTTCGTAGACGTGTTTCGCATCTTTCATCAGAAGAGGCCCAAATGGTAAATAGCCTCTGCTGATGAGCTTCAGGAGCTCCAAGACTCCCTCTCGTAACGATTAGGAGCTTTGTAGCTCCTGAAGGTAAGGTAGGATTGCTCTGATCTCTAATCAGTAGATGCCATGCCTCATTATGAACTCTACTGACAAGAGATCAAGAGCTCCAAGGACTCCTTTTTTAGTTAGTGGCGTTCTCACCATTTAGTAGGATTGCTGATCCTACTAATGAAGTGATCACTTAGTATACGTTTTGAATAAATTGATTTTTTTTTAGAATTTAGTATTTTTTATAGACATCACATGTATATTATAAATACATAAATATATTCTTTAATTCAAAAAATTCAATTCGGTTTTGGGATGGGCATCCCAGCCCCAAGTATTCAATTTTATTCAATTTTTAAAGAATTTTGGGTTGGGATGCCCAGACCAAAACAAGCTTTATATTTTGATGTGTAGATACGTATGTGTGCATCATTGTTGTGTTATATATTATGTTTTTAATGAAAAAAAATCTGATTCAAAAAAAATTATCACTAATTAGTTGATAATATAAAGAAAAAATAGATAAATTGTATGTTTTGAGAGTATTTATCCACATTCACTCATATGAATTTCATTAAATAGTGTCTTTTTACTCCCAAATTTATTTTGAATTATTGAAATCAAAGAAAAAAAATCAGAAAAATTTCTCGAAATTTTTATTTTCAAAAAAAATTTGGATTTTATATTGAAAACTGACACTGGGAGGACGATAGGGCTGGGATTGGAGATACCCCGCTCACTTGGGAAAAATACGGATCTATAACATAACTTAGGATCTTGAGAAAAATGAAAAACAAAAATTACATAAAAAAAGAAAAATTTTATCTAATTTGTTTTTTTGGACCGAATAAGTAATTTTATTGAATTTCAATACGACACATAGATTTTATTATTAGTAATAAATATAATGGTTTACTATTAACAAGGAACCTAAACTAATGAAAATTTGATTTCAAATATTGTATATGATTATCATAGATTACCAAAATATATTGCTATTTATGAGGATATAATATTGATTATTAGTAAATCGTATAAATTTAATAAATATACCATGAATATTGAATGAATTTCTTGATTCATAGGGGTAAAACGCGCTTTTATATGATTTAGACAGAGAATTTATGAGATGTAAATAACACAATAAAGGTTTATATTGAATATTTTCTAAAAATAAATCGAAATTATAAAAAAACAATACATTTATTCATTGAAACTACTTGGACAAATATGAAACAAGCATTCAGGCAATACTTTTGAGACTTCAACGCATCTGATAATTTTTATATAACTTCACCTCTTATGCTTAGAGTGGAGGTATTGAGATCGTATAAGTATAGATGAGCTCACATTCAGATATGATGTGTGAACTTCTGTTTTCACTGCAATTTTGAATCAGAATAAACTCAAAACAAGAATAAAATGATATACTCACTCTCTAAATGTGTTCGAGATTTAAAGTTGTATGAATAAAACGATTCATCTTTCGAAGCCTCCCATTTAATGAGAGACTTCGAAAGATGAATGTATTCATGTAGATGAAATACTATATATGACCATGTGTGATACTAAAGATATCAAAATGTTCATTTTTAAGTGCAATAGAAGGGTTATCTCTCGTAAAATCTCAATTTAAGGAAGATTTAGAAAGAACTCCTTTCCTAAGTAGATAGTGTGTGGTTTCTGTCTTTTGGTTGATCAGGAACTATGAAATTAAGTCGGACAGAAAGAAGTTCTTTCCAAAACAGACTCCAAATGAGTTGTTCGAAAAGAACTTCCTTCTGTATATGGATAATTGTAGTTACCGCACTGAAGTATGTGATTGTGATGATGGAGTTCTCGATAAATCTAAAATCGGATTAAGATTAATTGAAAACTCAAGTAATTCTTTGAAATCTTGTGTTGTCTGGCACTATAATAACCAAAGAATGAGAATATTATGTTGAATGATGAGTACGTGTGCTCGGCATTCGCCGAGCGAATTGAGTTTAACGTACTATGAAAAGTGACAAATTTGGGCTTTTTTTCCTAGGGTTATGATCTCTTCCTTTCTGCTCAATACGACAGAAATGAAAGAATGAATTTGTACTCCCTAATTGATTACTACAATCTGTATCTATCTTTAACATAGAATTAGCTGCATTGTGATTTATACTCCAGAATTATTCAATTTAAGATCAACCTCGTAAATTTTAATCATATTGCACCAATACTCCTACGTTGAGATAAGAACATGATTATACATACCAAAGCCCCATATTAAAAATCAAAATTTAGCACCTCCATTATGCAACCACATTATTCGTCGCAAATAAGTATATTTACGCATATTATGATGCATATTCACACAACTCGTATACATGAAAAGTTATTAAAATCAGACAAAATTATTGCAATAAGGAAAAAAAAACAACTTTATTATATATGTTAGTAATGAATTACAAATATTTCTACAAAGAATGCTCAATACTTCATATAATCTTCGAATATTTCTTATTACAAGTTAATACATTTTGACTCGAACATGATAAACAAAAGCGACACGCTGATTACTACATTTATGAAAATATAGTACGTTTCCATTCATCTGTTTACTTGTTTTTGTTGGAATAAAATCATTTTTTTTTTCTTTCATGAAATAAGAATTTTGCTGCGAAAGCAATATCTCTAACAATAATTAATACATTACGTCAACTCTGGAATGAGTATTTATCAAATATGATATCAAAATCAAAAATTAGTTGTTTTTTATGAGTAAAAACGATGTAAATTGATTATTTGACTAATTATCAAATACTTTGATTTTCCAAATTTTTTTCGAAATTGATTTTTTCATGTGAAAATTCAAATTGTTTAATTTCATTTTTGAAATTTTGAATTTTTTTTGGAATTTTGAGTTGATCAATTCAGCAGAATTGATAATGCTATTGCTTTAGGGCATACCACAAGGTGATGAATAAAAGGTGAACATTAACAAATTATTTTAAATCACAAATATCATCCTCATCAACTTTAATTCTAAAAAGAACTGTACTGAATTATGAAAATGCATGATTTACATTATTAAAATCTTTGAATGAAAATAGTACAAGATAAGTTTTTATTCATTTTTAATTAGATTTAAACGAAAAACTACTCCATATTAAAATTTAAGTCGAGAAATCGTATTTTGTTCTTATTTGTTAGCATTTTGTAGACATTCTAATCTTGAATTAATTTGTTACATGATATTATTAACAAATTTAACTGAAAAAATATGTTAATATGGAATAAACCATGATTATATAAGCTATCAATGCTATATATACATATGTAAAAGATTCATATTAACTCAATTAACAAAAATGATAGATTTTCATAAAGGTTCAATCTAGGTTCGTCCGAAAATTTTGATTTTTATATAGAAGACATAGTTTCATATACATAATTAAATTTTCAAACAAATTTGATCATACCATTTATTAAGCAGGATAGTATATTAATTACTATCAGTATAAAAATATAAAAATGATTATATTTAATTATTGCATAATTTAGTCAAAGAGTTATAAGCCTCAAGTGATCGTTATCACCTTCAATGCACGTATACTTTATTGATTCATAGATATTTAATCTATGTTTGACATGTTGTTGTCGTCATTCGTTTTGTTCCCATTCTTCCTAAGTTAGAATTAGAGAATACACCATCCACATCATCTAATTTGGTCCTCAGCGATAGATTGGTTCATTTTGGAGGAGTCCCATCAGACAGTTTTCGAGCACCAAATATCAAATTTTAATGTATACAAATCTTTAGTGATTTATCTCTTTTATGATGAGTAAAAGGTTTCTGCTCATCAACATTTGATTTCCGACATATATGATTTCTAATTGCAATTATTTACTTTCTTTTTATAATCTAACTCTGTGACTCATACCATAAATTAATTATTGGAAAGTGTCAATATGTTTGGCACAACGCATGGCGGAAGATACCAAACCATGCAGAGAATATGATACGTTTAAGATCTCCGAACTTTTTTTCCAAAAATTTTCTATCGTTGCCCTACCTCTAATTAAGTTCTTTTAATTCTCAAAATTATCATGGTGGTTGTTCTAATAGTATTTAATCCATTTTCATATATAAATACAGCGTTTCGGACAAACCGAAAAATCGTAAGTATTCAATCTAATTTTGATAAAAAATCTCAAAATGATTAATTTAAAATAATAAGTCCACATTAGTTAAAATACCCTATTCAAGGTGGTGGACAAACATGATTTATGTTGCTTCTCAAAATATTGAATCAGTGACAATATCATTTAAATTTGATATTGTTTTATAAACAGAATTTTACCATATAAAATCTTCAAATATACCTTTATCACAGTTTCTCTTCACAAATTTGTAATTGTTTCAAATCTTCTGACATATTTTAATATTCAGTTTAATGAACGCAAACGCAGCATTTTCTCCTGCAAAGAGGTTGATGGGAAGACCAAGATCTCATAAGTCTCGCTTTACCCCAGAAGAAGATGAACTGTTAAAGAACTTGATCCAACAATTCGGTACAGAAAACTGGTCCACCATTGCAGCCAAGATGCCGCATAGAAATGAAAGACAAGTTCGTGATAGATGGATCTCTTCTCTTGATCCTGATATAAATAGAGAGCCGTTCACTCCTGATGAAGATAAGTTATTACTGGAGTTGTATGATACAATAGGACCTAAGTGGGTACATCTCCGCAAGTACTTTAACAAGAGAACAGATGTTGCTCTTAAAACACGCTGGCTCTCTCTTAAAAGATTAGCTGATCGCGGAGGTAAACCAAGAAAGGCCTCCACAAAAAAAGAAGCTAAGCTCCCCACTGTGGTTATTGCCCAACCATCTAGTCCAGAGCTTCCCATGTTCGAGAATGTCGAATCTCAGGATTCCAGCGATCCATTGAGATATATTGATGAATTTTTCGTCACTTTCAACACCCCTCAAGCCACAATTGAGACAAGTATCATAGAAGACCTTCTGTGAATTTACTGTTTACATAAAACTTTACCCTTGCGCAATTCGGATTTTTTTTTCTTGTATAATTAAAAAGATTATCATCGGCATTTCATGCCTTGTATCCCAGATATGTATTCCCTACAACTGTAATTAGATAAGCTTTCTGGGAAAAAGAATTTTGTAATACTCTTTTTTTCTTCATTTCGGATGATCATCTCATATCGATTATATATCTACATTATAGATTAGTAAAAGTTAAAAAAAAAAAAAAAAAAAAAAAAAAAAAAAAAAAAAAGGTAGTGGGGCTTCCAGGCACTTCGTGCCCTCTAGCCCCGAAGATGTTTAGTATAAAATGAGGTTTTTATTCTGAAATGTTTGTTTAAAGTTTTTTACGGATGGAAATGAACTGGATATCGTCTGAGTCTTCGCTTGTTTCCTCCTCTTCTTCTTCGTCCGAATTGTCTTCATCTTCACAATAACCAGATAAGAAGATGGTTATTTTGGTTTGTTCTGGTTTTTTGAGAAGCATTTTGGCTGTGCCAGTAAAAACGAACTCAAGATTTTGATAGAATTGTCTGCTTGAGTGAGTGAAATTGCATACTGTAACTGGCATTGCAACTCGGTTTGCTTGAACAGATATTATTGAAACTTCTTCTCCATCTGGTATCCGTTCAGGAATATCTAAAGCGGCTGTTGTGATAATATGCATATTGTTTTCGTAATGCAATTTTGGATATATTTCGAATGGATGTGCAGCTACACCAGCTGGAGCAACAATGGAAAGATTCCAGGAGAAAGAACCGTGTTTGTTTTCATCTTCTTTCCAATTGTAAGTTAAAGGATAAGGGCGAAAGTCTTTGAGTGTTTCATATAGCTGTTCTCTTAAGTTTGGTTCACAGCAAAGAATGAATTCGTCAATTGCTTGAAGAGATATCATAGTTGAAACATAAGGCAAATTCGACAAGAAAAAGTCAACCATTACTGTCGGGTTTTGAACTTTGTTTTCTAATGTTTCGACTGGTTTTATTATACTTTTGAAATATCTATCATAGTCATTGTTGTCTGTTAAGGACAAATTGTTTGGATAATCTGCAATGAGTCTTCTATATCTTGCTTCTGTTGTTGAGAATGAGAAGACACCTTCTGGTTCTGTAGGAGTGTAAGTTTTTAGTTGAACTTGAGCTTCAATTTGTGTCTGATTGGAGTCTGATTGGACTGAAACAACTTGAGCTTCTGTAGTTTGTTCGACTTCGGCAGTTTCTTTTGGTTGAATTTGAGCTTCAATTTGTGTCTGATTGGAGTCTGATTGGACTGAAACAACTTGAGCTTCTGTAGTTTGTTCGACTTCGGCAGTTTCTTTTGGTTGAATTTGAGCTTCAATTTGTGTCTGATTGGAGTCTGATTGGACTGAAACCTGTGTAACCTCTTTGGACATACTAGTAAAGTATGAAGATATAAGTGTTTGACCTTTAAAGAGCTTTTGTAAAGAATTGTCAGTCATGCTACTACTGTGGTCTTCCATTAGACAAAAATGAACTGTTTTTTCGGACTACTCATAGAAAAGTTTAAAATAAACCGTTTTCGTCAACGGTAACCCCCTCTATTTTTTTATTTTATTTAATAGTTACCGTTGGCAAACCGTTCCATCTCAAATATTGAATGAACTATAAACGTTTTTTGTTTTCTATATATACTTTTTTGTCCAACGGTAAAACTTTTTACACAACGGTTTTTGAGAGTCGTCGCCGTTGACTTTTTTGTAGAGCACTCAAAATAGTAACTTTGTCCGGACAAGTAAGGGTCTATCGTCGCTACAGGAAAAGTTACGGGCGTTCCAAGGAAGTATACTTTGAGAAGCCTTTTCCCCTTATAGAATGAGATAGGACGGTTATTTTACAAAACTGACAACACTTTGACCGAGTAGTTTTTTGTGCTGAACAAAAAGTGTCATATAAACATCTGTCAAAAACCGCTTTTTAACTTCACTTAAAATGCCACGTAAGCTACGTAAGAATATACGTAAGAGGAAGAGAGCATTGAAACATCCAATAGTAAAACTGACACCACAACAACAGTTGCAACAACAAATGCTGAATGACCCCACTATGTTGCAACAAATGTCAAGCAATCCTATGCTTTTAAACCGAGTTGTTGGTGCACAGAGTGGAGGTTTAAGAGCGGCACTTTTAGCGAAAATGGCAGGCTATGGTGGAGCTGCAGACGGAACAGCCTATAACCCTCAAAGTCAAATGAATTTGAGTTCACTCAAAAATCAAATAACAGATGTCAAAAAGTCAAACATAGACATACAGAAGCAAATAAGTGAAAACGAAAAGAAACTAGAATATGACAGACACACAAAGAAACTCAATGAGTTAAACGTAGAGAAAAAGAAGAAAGAAGAACAACTGAAAGAACTAAGTACAGAGGAATATGCGAAAAAAGTGTCAGAAAAAGCAGCAGAAGTAGCAAAAATGGAACAAGATGTCATAAATTTGAAAAACCATACTACTCAATATAAAATACTGAAAGATGAAGAGATAAAACAAAAAGCCCTGAAGACATATATGGATAGCGATGAGTATAAAAAAGAAGTTGAAGCAAATGTAAAGGCAGAAAAACTTTTACAGTTGCAAAACCAAACCGTACAGTATGAAAACTTAGCACAAGAAAGTAAAAATAACGACGCAGCATGCAAAAGGCAATGAAAAGCGCAGAATATATAAAAGCTAACAATGACTGGTTAGATGCCCAAGCCAACGCTAAAGCAGCCCAACTATAGGGTCAATAAGGACAAAAATACAAGCGGATGAAGACAGTTCAAATGAAGCTTTAACAAATGCTGACTTTAAGAACGCCTTCGAAGCTCTTCATAGTAAGGTGAAACAAGTGAACGACTTCTCATCTGGAAAGAAACTGAAGTCTGAAGGTTTCGACAAAGAGTTAAAAGAAGTAGCACAAAATATGACGAAAATAACAGATGCAGCAACGAGACAGGCAGTTCAAAGTGCCTATGACGCCGTTAGAGCAACTGTTGTGAAAAGTCAAGAAAAAGAGTTACAACAGACCAAAACAGACCTAGTAAATGCTTTCTTAAAAACGAAAAGTCAGGTAGGACATTACGCTGCAGATGGAACATATGTGCCAGCTGGTGGAACTTATATACCACCAAACCCTCCAAGAGAAGCACCTGCACCAGGACTACCTAGAACATTTACATCGTCACATGGACACAGACACAGGCATGCACCAAACAACACACAACAACACAAACCAGCACAACAACCAACACAACAACCAGCACAGCAACCAACAGTTCAAAACCCTGCACAACAACAACCACAAACAGAGCAAGGACATAAAAGAAGTAGAGAACAAGGAAACCAAGAATTCTTAAAAATGCTTAAAGAAGAGTGTGGTTTCCCAGATACTGTTGACTTTAGTGACAGATATAAAGAAGCTATTAGAAAGTTCAAGGATGGAAATACTGACCCGAACCTATTTAGCTTTATGGCTCAGCACCAAAACGGATATAATCTCAAACCTGGAAAATACAAGCTCGCTAAGGGATATGATTTAATAGCATATCATCCAAATGACATGGATGAATTTACTCCGAGATATTTGATGTCAGAGCTAAATGACAATTCAACTTTCGTCATGAAACGCGTAAAAAATAGAGACGGAACGAAAGAACAAAAGCTTATGAATGCGGATGACGTAGATAGGGAAATTGTTGAAAACGGTCTCGGAATATATGAAATGCCAGCAGATGAGGTACAAGAAACTCCACAGGAAGAAGTTCAGATACAACCAGACATGGAAGAAATAGTTCAGCAACAACAGCTAGAAGAGCCTGAAGGAAACGAACAAGTCCTCCTTTGGAAACTAACTTCACAGAACTAGATGAAGATTTGGAACAGCCGAAAAATCTTGACCCTCAACAAGAGTATGCGGAGAATATGGAATATTTCCAAGAGTCTAAAAAAAATTCGGCTGACATAGTAGAAGAATATCGAAAAATGTTTGCCGACATACAAAAGACTCCAACACCAGATGAAAATATCAGCATAGAATGGAAGAACTGAAAAAAAATGTACACAAATACAACAACCCTTTTTACTTACGAGCATTTAACGTTCAATCTTCGGATGAACTCGGTGAAATAAAAGGTTAAATTTCAAGAAAACATATAGAAATGAAACATTGTTTAAAGTTCATTCAGAACCTAACCAAGATGGAAACAAACCTACTTTTGTTTCTGCAGACGATGGAACTACAATGAGATGGGGTCATAAAGCTAACCCGGATAGGTGGTTCATAAACTTACAACCACAATTCCAAGAAGTTGTAGACGCAATGGAAGTCAATGGTGAACCAGATATAGCTGGTATTTTAAGCGCGGCTTTAATGCCATTGAAAGATATGAAACATGCAGATATTTTGGACCAGTATGAAATGAACATGGCTGATGGAAATATAACACCTGACGTTCTAGAACATTTATCTCAAAGAACTACACAGAACCATAGAGATGGTATATTTGGTGAAGAGTTTAGAAAGAAAGTTAGGGAGGAGAAGGAAGAGAACCTATTGTACATGACCTTGCAAACGAAAGTTTACAAAATGTCATAAAAACTTACTTTGCAGACAATGAACGAGAAGGGATGAATATTTAAGAAAACTCAAATGGACAGTACCAAATGAAATGTTAGTATTGAAAAACATGTTCCTTGACAAAATAAAACCAACTACAGAAATAAACGACGCAAGACTGAAAGATTGGGTAAAAGCTTTCCCATTCACAAAAGATATAGTTGGTAACATGGAAAGAAAACCAGAATGGCTACAAAAACATATATTTGGAAACGAGCTTATTCCATATGGACAGGCACTGTTTGAAGAGCTTGAACCGGAAACTCAGGAAAGAGTCATGCAAACAATACGCGAAGACTCAAATACAAACTATGACAAACTCTTTCTAGGATATAGGTTACCTGAGATGGGCGACCAGAGCCAAAAGGCAAAAAGGACATGGGAAATTTGCAACATACTAGATGAACATAATGCAAAGATGCAACAACTTCAAGCAGAGGGCAATGAAGGAAAAAGAAGAGTTAAAAACTCAGTCAGGAAGAAAGTAAAGCTTGGTCCACGTGGGTTCTATTATGACATATAAATCCAACTATTCTATATTTTTACTCATATGAAATGTACGCCGCTCAGAATATAACGCCAACAGTTTTGGATGCTATGAATGGAAATGTTTCCGAATGGTATAACGAATGCGACAATGCCATTAGAAGGTCAGAAATAGTTCCTGGAACTTACGAATATACAACTGCTGTTTCTTATGGAAACGTAGGTGAGTTTGGAGAAGGTTCTTCAACAACAGTAGATATTGCTTGCGACAGGTTTCATATTATTTCTATTGACAACTCATTCTTATACGTGGAACAAGACATTGAAATAAAACCTTCTGCCAAGTTGTCTGACAAGAAAGGTTGCAATGGAATTTTCTATGTCGGATACCAATATGCTCCAGAAGTTTTCATGGGATATAAGATATATTCTAACTCTGACTTAGTTCAAACAGTAACATGGGCAAACTATGAATGGTTCGCTTTGAGAAACTCAGTACAACCACAAGCTAGAGAACAAACAGACCAGTATGCAACTATTGAGAAAATAAGAAGACTTGACCCTAACGTTCCAGGAGTTTATGTTAACCTTTCTGGACAAACTGCAGCAGCAGTAACCAAAGTAAAACTGAAACTTAGAGTTCCTTTGTCATCTTTCCTCATCTTCAGGTTTTTAAGATACTTGCCAAACTGGGCAGGAAAAATTTCTATCGAACTTACTCCAAGCAAAAATAACTTAGTCATTGCACCAACACAAGACCCATTCACTCTTACAGAAGTAGTGGGAACAAATAAAATGTCATTCGCCGACTTTTGCAAAAACAAAGTTGACTTAGACTTTGGTTTCTCAAACCTCAACACTGAAGTAAACTATTATTTCAATGCTGCTGGAGATGCTTGGGACCCAGTTAAGTTCACATGCGAAAAATTTGAATGCAAGAGAATAGAAAGCAGACTTGCAGTCTATATGTTGGACCCAGATATTTCAAATGCTTTAGCTGCCAAATATATTGCAGTTCCACTTATGTTCCCTATACACCAAATATCTGTCAAAGACTTTGCAGGTGAAGTTGGAAACCAAAGTGCTGACCCAGGTGCAAGAACAGATATTGCTTAACAACTGCAATGAAACATGCAGATACTATGTTTGTACTGTTCAGACGAACTATAAATGACTATTCTTGTTTCTACAACCCTGGTATTAAATATCATATAAACATAGATGGCAAATATTATCCAAGAGAAGAATATTCTACAGTTGAGGATATGAGGTCATACAACTTGACATTAGATGCTATGAACTTTAACAACAACTTCACAACAACCATTAACCCTGAAATGCAAAGTTCTATTATGCCATATGTGAAAGTATGGACTCATACAGGAGGTCAAAAAACTCAATATACAAATGGAGACCGTTCAAACTTTTGGCTTGGCATTCCATTTGCTGACTCAGAAGACTTTATGGGTGGTATTTCAACTGTTGGTACAGTTCAAATACAATATACTGGTGACAGAGACGGTCCAGATGAATTGAAAGCAAAGAAGTTTACAAAACCAATAGCACTTTTCACGGAAGATGCTCTTTTGAAGATTCGTTCGATGAAACCTGCTGGGGCTCCTCAGATTGGCATAACGACAGCTTCCATCGAGCAGATTTTGGCAGCAGGTCAGTAAGTTGTTCTTGAACTGACTTCTCTCCGTCAAATATTGACAGTACGCCAGTTTTGATATAATATTGTATTATAAACTTACCTTTAGAAATATCGGTCAGTTTTGTTGTTATATTTTTGTCTGCTTCAAGAACTTTCACCATTTCAGTTATACCAACTTTCTTTGCTTTATGAAAATATTTTGGTTCAGCAAAGACTGCTATTCTATAACATTTTCCATTGTTTGTATAAAGAACTATTCTGTCAATGAATTTGTATTGTTTGTGTGTGTAAACTTTGTTTGCTTCAATTCGAAGAGATACTCAAATACGTCCATCTTTTTATTCTAAGTAAAATGTCATTTCCGAAAAATAGAAGCGTAAGTGTTTCAAAAGGTTTAATGGCGGTGGCAGATGTGAAGTTAAATTCACCAACTCAAACAAACAGTCAAAGTGTTGTTGTCAATGTCAAAGAAAGAGATGTTGAAGTGGGGAAACCATACGAAGACGAAGATGGTATAACAATAGTTCCTGTAAAAGAACAACCAACATACCCTGAAGTTAGCAGAGACTTAAGTTCTGTTGCAGATATTCGAAACGACTACCAACAACTTAAAGACAAACTTAAAACTCAGGAGAAGATTTGTCAAGCTTTGGTATAATGTTAAACTTGGTCGAACACAACCCTGTAAAAGTGAACTCATATGTCATTGCACCTCATGAAGTTTTGAAAGAACTATTGAAACTTTTGACAGAGGCAGACGATATAAACATCAAAGAAATAGAACCCGACATTAGTTGCTGTGGTGTTTCATATAATGTCATTGACAAGATATACGTTATGAAAGGAGGTGAAACGTTGAACTTAAAATATAGTTTCCCAGACGTCATAAAAATATTTGACGACCACAACATTTCATTAAAATTTACTTGCTAAGTAAATGGCAGAAGACATAGTGGTTTATACTATTACGACTAAAAACCCTGAGTCATATAATTCTATAACAACAAACTTACAAAGTCCTCAAGGACGATATTGTAAACTGACCTTAAACACGATGACGACTAAAGCCTGTTTTGCTCTTTTGACACCAGAAGACTTTGTTGTTGTGAATGGTAAAAAATACTTCTTTGAAGATACTTACTCAGATATACCACCAACAGGTTTTGTTGACTTATTTAATACTTTAAGGACGGATGTAACATGTGCTGCAACTAGAGCAGGTTTCATTATGTTTGGATGTCCGACTGAGTTTACTATAAACGATATGAGCTATAATACAAAACTTATATCTGGTTTTTACTACCAACAGTTTCCTATAACAGGAAAAGGTGTCATACAAGGAATGTCTGTTCCATTGACTTTAAGTACACCTATTTTATATATTGTTTCAAACTTAGGTTCAAAGTGCTATTCGAATGTCGACAGAAACTACTATGACCAAAAGATACTCATGCGTATAAACAACACTTTCTCTGCTGGTTTGCCTATTGTTCATTCGAATGCAGAGTTTTCAGCTTTAGTAAACTCAAACACTTTAGCAAACATAAACTTAACCTTAGTTGACGCAAACTTTGTTCCTGTAAAACTTTTATGTCCTATGTATTTGTCAATGACGGCAGAAAGTTTCGAATTGGAAGATGCAACTGGTGAAAGTATTGTACTACAAGAACAACTTCAACAACAAATAGCTCAAGAACAACAAATGTGCAACAAATGCAACAAAAGTCAAGAATAAAAAAAATATTTTTTTTATTTTTATAAAAATGTACAGAATAGATGTTTCAGATTTTTATGACTTCCAAGCATTCAGAAATATGTGTCCATTTCGAGACTATAACAAAGCAGTCGAGAATTTGAAACGTTTAGTCATTTATGTCGACTCTGCCCCAGAATGTTATGTTATGAAAGAATGGGATGTTGTCTTTAACAAACCAAGAGCAACAATAGTTCAGAACAAGAATGTAGACAGAAACTTAAGAAAATAAAAGTCGTACAAGTTGGCATGAAGATGTTAGATGCTTGGGATATCTTATTGTCAAAGTTAGAAGATTTTTCAGTTCGAGGTATAAAGTTCTATACACCTTCTCCAAACTTCTATTCTATCTTCACTGGATATAAATACGAACAAGTAGAATGGAAAGAAAATATTATAGAAGCTTGGTTAGACCATGTCAAAGAAATTATATGCAATGGAAACGAAAGAGTCTATGAGTATATCTTATGTTGGTTTGCAAACATCTTACAACATCCAAGTGCTAAAAATGAAACTGCTCTCATTATAATTGGAAAACAAGGAACTGGTAAGAACATTCTTTACAGATATTTATGCAAACTGTTAGAGGGCTATTCGAACCCGAATATGACAAACTTAGAAAACATCTGCGGTAAATTTAACTCTTCAATAGAGAATATGAAACTTATAGTATGTAACGAACTTCAAAGTATAGATACAACAAAAGTTTTGAACTCAGATGCTTTGAAGAGTCTTATAACAGACAAAGTTGGAGTTGTTGAAAGAAAATATAAAGACCAAAGAGTTTGTGAAAATGTTGCAAACTTCATTATGGTTTCAAACAATGCTGTTCCGATGAAGTTAGAAAGTTCTGACAGAAGATATGTAGTTGTCAGAACGTCAGATTCTCATATGCAAGATACAGAATATTTTGACGACTTAGCAGAAACTTTGACATCTGACTTTTACAACCACTTGTTCTCATATTTCATGACATTAGATATTTCTAAGTTCAATCCAAGACAAATTCCACATACCGAAGAAAGACAAACATTGTTAGAAGCAAACAAGAGTGTATATGAACTGTTTATAGATGAGACTAACTTTGAGTGTTTAGATGAAAGGTCATTGTACGATGAATATAAACAATATTGTCAAGAATATGGTTATATGACAGCGTCTAAACGAACATTCTTGGCAAATGTCAAAATCTTTTAGATGTTCAGAACGGCGTATATACAAAGAAAAATTTTTCTGAGTAAATTTTAAAAAAAATATTTTTTTATCCGATAGAAAAGATGACGAAATTCATTCAGTAAACAAGTACATGACAGAAGTCAAAGAAGAACTAGACCCATTCGCTTATTTGAATGTTTACTTCTACCATTTTGAAAAGTCTACATTTGACAAAGTTTGGAACATCGAACCAGTTAAGTTTGCTATTGTGACTAAAAATGGTGCGAAATTTGAAGACTTAGACATAGAAGGTTTGTTAGCAGTCAAAGAAAATTTTGACAGAAGGTTCTCAAACCTTAAAGAAGGCAAAGCATACAAACTTGTTATACCTTATGAACCAAAGAAAGCAGACGACTATGAATATTATGAGTCTAAGATAGTTGAAGTTCAAGGTAAATTGGGTAAAAAGATTTTA